CCTCTTTTGCCCCGTGGAGCACCGTCACCGCTGCTTCTTGTGAATGTTTCAGGATTGTAAGGAGCGGCAGAATTGATTCAGAGGGGCTGTCTTTATCTCAGCAGGCTTTCCTCGGCATCAGAGAAAGTGTGTGTGTGTGTGTGTGTGTGTGTGTGTGTGTGTGTGTGTGCGTGCACTGTAAACTGACAGTGTAAGTACACTGTCACATCACTGCAGCATGATGCATGGCTCCAAATTATGTGGCAGCGTTTGCTTTTTCCCCGCTGATCATTTGGAGCCGTCAGCCTGCGATGACTCATGGAAATAGCAGAGGTGGAATAACAATATCAAGTGAACTCGAATGAATGAAAACGCAGAGATCAGTGAATATAAGTCACCAAAGTTCAGTTTTAGATACCAACAAAATGTGAGAGGCAACTGTACATCTTACACCACCTTGGTGGTTCTGTTTTCAGTCCCATATGTTGTCTTTTTTTTTTTACCGTAATTTGCTTTCTTTTTGGTTCATCAATGATTTTGCATGATTGCTTTAAACTATTTCAAAGTTTCTGAATAAATAGACTATATTATATTATTGTATTTTTCTTCTGGCAGTGCATTGCTCTTAAACAACATGTGGGGTCATTAGAAGCACTGCTAAAGGCAACATAGTGCATCAGTAGTTTTGTAATGAACTTAGCCAGTGGCTTTGATTGCCATATGCCCTGAATTTGCTCTCTCGCTGTGCACACTGTCTGCTTTAATCTCATTGCGTGGGTCCATTCCCAGCGCGATTAAAGGTGGGGTCCAAAGTGCTGGCTTTCATTGGAACATCCAGGATTAGACGTCTTTATATTAACATTTATGTAAACAGTAGTATGAAAACTGCTCTATTCATCTTCAAATATGTTGTGATATGCAAAAATGTTTTTGGTGGAAGCACAAATATCAGCTGCGTAAAAGGCCGAACTTCTTCTTCTTGTTAAGAACATAGATTATAAAGTAGCCGATTGTAAGATGTGTTCAGAATGCATAACAGCATTTGTAGACTTAAAGCTAAATCGTGAACCCAAACACCTTTGTCTTAACATATGAATTAAATGTAGAGGAGACCACAGATGTATTTGCCTCAGGGTGCCAGAGGCTGCTCGTAATGGTAAATGGACTGTACTTGTATAGCGCTTTTCTAGTCTTCTGACCACTCAAAGCGCTTTAACACTACATGACATCATTCACCCATTCACACACTGATGACAGGAGAACCATACACAGTGACACCTGCCCATCAGTAACTAACATTCATACACTGTAGTCGCAGCTACAGGAGCAATGTTGTGTTAAGTGTCTTGCCCAAGGACACATCGACATGCGGGTTAGCAGAGCCTGGGATCGAACCGACAACCCTCTGATTGGAGGACGACCGTGCTCCCCACTCACCCACAGTCGCCTCAATACACGTAATACAGAATATTGAATCAGACCTTCCATCCTGAAGTGACATATGATAAGTTGAAGTGATGGATGTCCTGCCGTGCTGCTCCGGGGCCGCAGTACAGTTCTCTCCCGTCCCCGCCTCTTCTCTTCTCTTCCCTCCCCCTCTTCTCTCCTCTCCACCTCTCCTCTCCTCAGGAATACCAACAGCTAAGAGAAGAATTTCTGTTGTGTATACTACTGAATCTGACATGCAGGTCTTTACATTACATTACAGGTCATTTAGCTGACGCTTTTATCCAAACCAACTTTACATTTTTAACCCGTGGCCGTTTTACATTTTTGCCTGGGGAGCAATTAGGAGTTAGGTGTCTTGCTCAGGGACACTTCGATATGGGACATGGAGCAGCCAGGAACCGCCAACCTTGCACCCTTGTGCACCCTCTCTACTCAATGCGCCACCGACTTCCCTTCTTTAGGGACGTGTATAGTTGGTTCCCAGTCTATATCAACAGCATTTCATGATGAGCATGGCCATATATGTTTTTAGTCCAATCTTTATTTTTGCGTTGCTCTTCCAAGGGAACTACAAAAAAAATGATATTCTGAATTTTCTTTTAAAAAGAATCAAAAGCAGTCCCATGGAGCGGTGCAATATTCGATTCAATGTTCTTGCTTCTGTTCAGCTTGTACAACCTCTGGAATCTGAGAAAAAAAAATGTATATTTGCACAAACTCAGCTGAACTTCGCTTGCTTGCCTGAGCAGTCAGCTGGAGAATCAAGGCCTCGTCCGCAGGAGAGAAGCTGACTCTGGGTGTGAAAGCAACCGAGTGCATTTCTACGTCATTCCTTCATTCATTAGAGAGAGAAGGTATGTGCTGAAACCTCAGACAGAAAAGAAGACTAACTAACTCAAGCTAAATAACCAAACCTAAGAGGCAAATATCTGTGTTAGATAAGTTAGCTAAGGTAACATCTCACTCTGGTTGTTTACCGTCAATAAGTGAGAGTGTGTCATGACATACTGCCAAGTTCACCATAGTGGTAGATGGACTGTACAGCACTTTTCTAGTCTTCTGACCACTCAAAGCACTTTAACAATCAAATGTCATCATTCACCCATTCACACCCATATGACAGGAGCTACAGTGCCACCTTCCCATCAGTAACAAGCATTCACACCATTCACACACATCGTAGTCACAGCTACAGGAGCAATGTTGGGGCTGAGTGTCCTGCCGATTGGGGGACGGCCGTCCTCTTCACTCGCCCACGGTCTCCCCAACAATATGAAAATCTCTGGGTGCACTGCACCTAGCAGCTTCTCCCTAAACAAGTGGTGCCAGAGTGTGACCTGCTATAAAAGGTGTTGAACGTGCAAGATAGCGCTTTGTTAATCAGTGAGCTCAGGGGGTGTTGGTAGATTGTGGGTATTTGTGAGCATTTGACGAAGCCAGCTGTTTTTCCGCCGCTTATGCTAAGCTAGGCTCACAACGTCCCGGCTTGAAAGAAAATATGCATATCTCCAAACCTCCATATGTATTAAACCGAAGGATGCTTCTTTATTGTTTGTAACAGGATCATTTTACTGAATTTCACTGAGCAAGAGGCAGAGCCACAGAGAAAGACATGGCGACGGACGTTGTGATAACCATTTCTCCTGGTGCGTGGGCTGCTGCTCTTCTGACAGCTGAGACAGCGGGTGCACTACTGTAAATGTGCGTGTGTTCATCCCACACACCCGGGTGCATATTATAGATCGCAGGCCTGCTGATTCAGCCGCCCTGAACCTCACCATCACAATTACAGCCAGCGTGCGGCCCCCCTCCGACACTGGCGTCTGCAAAATGTCACGGTGCTTCACACAGCCCATCCGTCCACAGGTCTGTGCCCCGCTAGCAGGCCGCCGTGTGGGAGTACAGAGAGACATGGGCTGACTCCCTCAACGCCCCCCCCCCCCCCTCCCCCACGGCAAACAAGCATGAGCATCAACCCGGCTGCTAAGCGCACAGTCAGGTTAGGCCGTCACAGATGTGTCAAAAAAAGTATCAAACCAATACTTCAAATGAAACATAAGAGCTGGTGTTGTGCATACCGGCTCAGTGTCACACTATCATCGTGACTAACTGGGATGAGAACAAGGCGGTTAATGGTACTACTGTAGCACCAGTTCTTCCAATAACAAGTCAAGTCAATTTTAGTCCCCAAAACGGTTAAATATATGAGGACTCTGTGATGAACCAGGGCGAGGAGCCAAGCCAATGCTGCCCAGGAGATGGATCCCAAGGCCCAGGTTGTGGGGTTGAGGGTGTGTGCTACCCAGTGCAGGTGCTGCAATCAATAGGCACTTGTCATGGGGCTCACCTGCAGCCCATCAGCCAGATCAGAAGGGACGGAAATATAGAGGGCTGAGAAGCAGGAGAGAGGGGAGATTTACCGAACGGCAGTTTAAGGAAACTAACGAAGTAGAGGAGAACGACGACTGGGACGGGATGTAACCCTATGGCCTCACCCCGCTCATCTGCTCTATTTACAGTGTGGCCTCGCACCAAAGACCCCCACCGGGAAGAACTGTTTGTTCTTTCCACCTCAGCCTCTTTTCCCAACGTTTACTTATTAAAGGACCCCCAGCATTCAAATACTTCACAGTTACATTGAGAAGAACATTTTGCATTGTACCACCTCACACGTGACATTGCCTTATGCTTATCGGCGAGTTCTCCCTGCAATTGTACAAATATACAGGCTTATTTTAACTCCAACTATGAGTTCTTCCCCGAAGCAAAACCAGGCACTTTTTTGTGTCAAATACAAACTACAAGACGGTTTCGGTCAAATTGTGTCCATTAACAAAGCTAAGCACAACAAACAAGCTGCTATAGGGGTTAGATGGTCATTTTAAGCATTTAGCGAGTTGGGAGTGAGAAGCTGATGCAATAATTGTTATACCAGGTATTAGTAGTCAATACATCAGCATAAATACTATGGTAAAATGCAGTTATCTGTGTGTGTGTGTGTGTGTGCGCGCGTGTGTCCGTCATTAAAACCAACACTCGGCCATGGCAGCTCGTAGCAAAAGACTGAAAGGTCCCAGTTTGTCTGGGAGCTGTTAATTCATGGATGTTTCTGAGCTGAAGCTTGTTGTTTCACCGTGATAGCGGTTGCTAGATTTGTCTGTACCAGTACAAACTTTGTAATTGTATTTTTTATTTACTTTTCATTAAAAAGTTCTTAACTTTAACTGAGGCCAGTTGGGAAACATTTTTGTACAGCCTGCTAGGTTTGTAGAAAAGACGTTGTTCTTTATAGCTGAGGATGGGAAATGTGGATTTGTCACATTTATTTATAGACTCAAGCTGGTTCATTCAAAACAAAACAAAATGACTTCTTTATGTTCATCTGTCATTTCTTTCAAATATGACTTTCTAATTTGAATCAAGAAAGCGCAGGCTAGTTATGTGCAATGCCTCTTCTTTGTTAATGATATGCAGGAAAATGTATTTTAAATTCAGTATTTGTTGCAGGAAAAATGCAACAAGCGTGACTTGCTTCCTCTGACTTACGTCCTTGTGTGTGTTTGTGTCTGCAGACCAATGATGTAGCAGGAAACACTTGGAACTGGCTGTACTTCATCCCTCTCATCATCATCGGCTCCTTCTTCATGCTCAACCTGGTGCTCGGTGTCCTCTCCGGGTAAGTCCACTCTAAACAGCAATACACATATTCCAGGTCATTTTATTGCAAAATCACTAAATATGCAGATTATATACTTAGTTTCCCTCATAAAATTGAACAGTATTGTGAATCCAAATTGAGCTTAATAGACGTTGAAATGCTTAAGTTTAGTTTATGTTTTAAAAATGTGTAAAATATTGGTTTAAAGAATAAATGTTGCCAACATCTCAAAAATGTCCATTTGCATTTCAAACCATCTGCAGATTAAAGCGTTCTTGCTTAGTTTACAAAAACGGAGGAAGAGGTTGTGAGGAAATACATTTAGTGTGAATTGAATGAATAATTTGCTCACTCACTGTCCTCATTCTTATTATCTATCTCTGTCTTTATCATCTGTTACTGATAATCTGATAATGTGTCCATGTGTATCTCAGCGTGTCCGTGGTCACAAACGTTGGGTAGGTACAGGGAACATTATGATATTTAGTATGTTCCAGCATACGGCTGTGTACTGATGTGTCCACAGAGGCTGTTTTGGACACAATGTTTCATGCACTTTTCCCAACATCGGATGCTTGGTGTGCTGCCACTATGCATCCGACACCTGATTGGAAGGACGCTCTCACTCCAGAGCTGTCTGCTCCCGGCTTCTGAACTGAAAGTACACAGAGGCTTGTTTGGAAACAGTCCACAGAAAATCCGTCTTTATTTAAAATCAACAACAGATGGTTTAAACATTTTTAATGGGAGTTTCTAAAGGCAGTGAGTCGTGGTTGATGCCCCTGATTTGCATGAAGTAGCTTAAACTTTATGCAAATAAAGGAACGGCTAACATAACAATATGTTTGTCAACAAGCAACACTGCGAGACCAGAAGGTATTGCACAGAAGTTTGGAGATGACAACCCTGTGAATGTGTGCCATAGTTCTCAAAAGACAACAAATGAGGTTATAGAACATCTTAGAAAAGGTTTGACAGTTAATAGGTGATTCTTCAAGTGTCTCAACATGTTCAAGGGTTCAGAAATAGTTTTACCTGAATAGTTTTGTTTGGATATCTCTACTTTTCAGATTTTTCATAACCTTTTTTGCATTATTTGGCTCCTCTTTTAAGTATTCATTCATTCATTTATTTGTTCTTTCTTGAACAAATCACATCAACATTTATATCACAATCTCGATACAAGATTTCATACGGTGCGCTGTGATAAAACCTTCACGTGAAGCATCTGGTGGAACATCTGCTAGCTTTGCCGACGGCCTTTTTGCTCAACAGTTGCCCAGCTTTCTGAACTCCACAGTACATAACCCTTAGGACGAGCACTCAAACTCCTGTTTTTCTTCCTTCCCATGATGCAGTGTCTCACAAATGTGTTTCTTATTGTTATTTGAACACTCTGTTGCTATAAATGCACCTGCTGACTGTCTCCTGGCAGATTTCCGTCTCAAGAGAAAAAAATGATGTACCTTTTGTAAATGTGATGAAATGCGACCTTTTTGTTTGTTGAACGTATCTCTGTATATGCCTCAACAGAGAATTTGCCAAAGAAAGAGAGCGTGTGGAGAAGAGGCAGGAGTTCCTGAAGCTCCGGAGGCAGCAACAGATCGAGCGAGAGCTCACCGGGTACTTGGAGTGGATCTGCAAAGCAGGTCAGACTCATCTCTGAAACAGTGGGAGAGCTGGCATGCATGTGTTTGTTGTGTTAGAAAATCATGACAAATTGATAGAAAGTCCCTCTCTCCTCTCTTTCTGTCTCTCTTTTTCTCACTGCAGAGGAGGTGTTGCTGGAGGAGGAGGATGAGATTGCAGAGGAGAAGTCCCCGCTGGACGGTGCGTGGTACAAGAGGAAACAGAACCTTCCAGGTAAAAATAAAGTATCTCTCTTCTGCTTCATTATGGTCCATAACAGCATGAGGTACACTGTCTCATTTCCATTTAGTGATAGCTCATGTACAGCATTAATGTGTTGTACATGAATGGCTGTGAATGTGATCTGTGTCTTTTTTTACCTGTGGAGCGAAGGCTCATTTGAATCTCAAATATACCATATGGGATTTGTCCAGAATTGTGGGTGTTGTTCAAAGGCCCAATTTCGATATATGGACATTTTGAACTACGTCTCCCAACATAGAGATGGCTTAGCCGGAGGTTAGCAGCTAACAGTGCGCACAACGGCAACAGTGCTGACATGGCTAATAGTGTTTAGTGCATGCGTTGGTTGTATACTTTTAATAGGTAACATTACAAAGGAACACATCATAACAATTTTAACGCAGTTCCTCAGATTTATATTAATTCCAATGGCACAACTGCAATATGTGATGGTAGAAAGAATGCCAGCCAACCATCAAACATTGTAATAAGCATTTATGATGATTATTATTAGGTTTTCAGTTCCACTCTACTCTTTTTCCTTCATTTCAAAGGGAAAAAGCTTTTACTAAGTTTTTTCTCTTTCTCTCTCGCCCATGATGTCAGTCCATTAGGCCTGGTGTGAGGCCAGGGGTTAATTAGTGGGATTTAGAGCTTAGTCTGATTGGATTTGTTGAAAAGAAATCACCTTACCAAGCTCACCAACACACACACACACACACACACACACACACACACACACACACACACACGTACATATATGGAATGCATATATCCATTTGCTAGTAAACAAACACACATTGGAAACACGTCCCCGCTGAGAATTCCACTAACGTGACAGCACTCAGCTGCCATATTTCTCATTTAGTAACATATCAGGGATTAAAAAGTCTGAGTCCACAGCTGAAGAAAAGCACTTTGATGTTGTTAGAGCAGAAAATGTGGAGTTGACCAGATGAATGGCAGGTTTGAATAGTGGAGCAAAGTGCCAATCATTGCTGACTGACTTAGTAGAGATGATTTTAAAAGAACTTTTTCAAATTAAGGAACCTATCCCTGTGGCTGAAAATGTAATTTATAGATAAATATGGGGGGATATAAGGAAGTTGTTTGTGTTTTTCATTATACTTCAAATATAGTTTAGGAAAAATAAAACCTCAAAAGCACTGAACATGAATTATATATTTTTTCTTCATTTCTAAAAAGAAAGCAGTGGGCTTACCTGCAAAAATCTCCATTTTATGAAGTAATTTCAGTAGCACCGAGAATGAACATGGACCCACATCCTCATCCATATGCAAATCCCATGTAAATGAGCATCTTTTACGACTATGTGTTTTGCCACTGAAGACTCGAGCCATGTTGGAAAATGTAGTAGTTTTAAAAACACATTTTCATGAGATCAAGAAGGAAAATACACTATAATTCATTTTTTTTGGTGGAAAATGAGACTGACATGCCGTTTATATGATGCATGGAACGTGTTGAGTGGTATGGCAATGCTCTAACAGTAGTGAGGAACATATGTGTTGAGCATGCTAAAAAAAAAGAAAGAAAACCCATTTTCCTGTGACGGTTTAATGAAATGAGTCAGGGTACTTACACATACTTTATTACCATTGATTAGTCTCACTGGCTGCGGTATGTTATCAAAACATCGGCCAAATGATCAGCTTCAGGCCATGTGAGCACATATAGAATTCTTTTAGCTTGAGTTCTTGCAGTAAGCCAAAGAAGGAAATTACCAAGATAAAAAAGGTGCATCATTTTATATGAGATGCTGTGCGGCTTTCAAAGTTAGAAAAAAACATTTATGGGATTTGCATTTATGGATGAGGAGGCGGGTCTATGCCGCTACTGTACATGCCGTTCTGAGATCGGTTTATCCATCCATCCATCCATCCATCGTCAAACCGCTTATCCTGCACACAGGGTCGCGGGGGGCGCTGGAGTCCATCCCAGCCAACTTCGGGCGATAGACAGGGTACATCCTGGATTGGTCGCCAGCCAATCGCAGGGGAGATCGGTTTATGCCGTCCTGAAATAAGAACCTGCCACCTGACGTTTTTCCATCTCCGCGTCACTCAGTCATTTCCGCCATCTAGTTGAGTCCTTTAAGTTATATCCTCTGATTTTAAATAGACCTTTGCTGCAAATAGACCTTTGCTGCAACCCTGAGATTCTGTTGCTCGGTAGAGTGACTAAATTAATAAACAAAACAACAAGCGCTGAATTTCAAATTGCACTCTGGAGCTTTGGAACGGTTGTAGATCCGGAGAATGAGCTCACCACTACGGCGACACAGAGCTGGTCATGTGATGTTCATGTTTCGCTGGCAGTTTTTCATTCCAAGCCAGGCCTCAAGCGGGAAGGTGTGAAATCTCCAAATGAAAAACATGATCTAGACCTGCTATTCAGGCATTCAAATTAGCTCCCTCTCCCTCCCTTCCCTCTTCTCTTAACAGTCCTGAAACGAGGCAAAGTGAAGAAAGGTAAAAACGACCTGATCAGCGCTGAGGAGGGAGAGGATCCTTTTGCAGACATCTCCTCCGTTCGTAAGTCTTTTTCATCCGGAGCCACGAGCACTCCACTTCTGACCTTCACATGCTGTCTGTTCACAGAGTCGACCTTTACAATAACAACTACCATAACGGCCTGTCCTCTGACTGTCTGGTCTCCATTTATCAGATTAGCATTTCAGGACAACTCTGTAGTGGAAAATAATTTGAGATATCTCGCACCAACTTAAAAATGACTGACGCAGATTCTGCTTTAACTTGATCTGGAGACCTAAATCTGAGCCCACTGACTGCTGTGGAAGCATATCCCCCCGAGGGAGAAGAAGTATAATTAACTTTTCTAATTAGACTGTTTAAAAAATGGCTAGAGCACCTGCAGTTGATGAGAATGAGACCATAGAAATATAACAGGATTTGAACAGACAATTTTTCTGTTGTAATTTCACAGATATGAACGAAAATGGGAAACGTTGTTAGTTATGGTTACAACATATGTATGTTGGTCCTTAAAGTTTTACTGGGAAGAGAACACACGCAGCTCTAATTGGCCTGATGCCAGCTAGTTCACTAACTAGCTCGCTAATTCCGGCGTGCATAATTCCTAACTTGGGATAGCAGTATGTTTTCTTACGTCGTAGTGACAAGAGTCGAGGGATTATGCATTAAGTTGTTGAATGTTACATATTTCCTCTGGTGTTATTACTCCACTGCTTGTGAAAGTCAGTTTGGTTTATAGGGACGGTAAATTGCTACATTGGAATGTCTGTTCTACTTCCATTCTATTTCTGTGATCAAGATATTTTCAATAGGAATGAATTTCATGGTCCCACACAGACAACAAGTAATTGCTTTTCTGTGGGTTGGAAATGAGCACAAGCGCGGTAATTGAAATCTTTGTTTTGCCTTTTAAACTTTTTTTTCCGATCTCTTCTCTGTTTGTTTACCGTAAAATGAATTGTTATGGGAATAAATGCTCTGCACAGTCAAATTGCATCTCCCATTTCACTTATTTCACACATGATGCTTGCAGTTCTGGGGCACAAAGCTATTAGGTGAATATGTGATAATGAGTAGCTGAAAGAAAAATTAGATTTAAGGCTTTTTCTTTCTGTCCCTTTTATCAGTTTGTTTTGGCCTAAAGCTAAACCAGTTTAAACTGTTTTTATAGGGCTTTGTGGAGCTTTTTCTTGGCTGGAGGGAATGCTGGAAGTCACTGCTCCAGAATGTGCCAGCAAAAACTTGTTGTTCCTCTTAGCCAGGCTAGTTGTTTAACCCTACTTCAAAAGACTAACAAATTGTAGCACTTAAATTGTACTTATAATAGCAGTTATTTATATCAAATTTTAAATTGGCTTATTTGATGAAATTGCACTTTCTTGTTTCTTGCTCTTCTGATTTTGTATCCCTATGGTTGAATGCTCTTATTGTAAGTCGCTTAGGATAAAAGCGTCAGCTGAATGACATGTAATGTAATGTAAAAGTGTTTAAGCTAAGCTACAACCGCCTCCTCCACATTTATGGTTCAGACAAGAGAAGGGAATCAGACCAGTACACCGTCATGACTTTGATGTCCGCTGTGACTCTAGAAAAAGGGCTGCTTTTAAACCTGGTGTTGAGTTCAAGTATATACAAATGAGAAAACTGTGTGCACGTTTCATCATGCCTTTCAGCTCCCCCTGGCTCGCCGTTTGGTCGGGCTAGCATGAAGAGCGGCGGGAAGATGGATAGCTCCTCTTACTTCCGGCGTAAGGAGAAAAGGACGCGTTTCTTCATCCGCCGCATGGTGAAAGCTCAGAGCTTCTACTGGATCGTTCTGTGCCTGGTGGGCCTCAACACTCTTTGTGTGGCCATAGTCCACTACGACCAGCCCGATTGGCTCACAACAGCCCTCTGTAGGTCACGCATGCGGATACGCACTTGTACCCCATCACATTTTATGATGTTGATTGCCTAATAAAAGTAATTATCTTTCCATTGCCACCTTGTCCATCTTTAAAACAGACACGGCCGAGATTGTGTTCCTGGGTTTGTTTCTGACTGAGATGTCGCTGAAGATGTACGGCCTCGGAGCGAGGAATTATTTCCACTCGTCCTTTAACTGCTTTGATTTTGGCGTAAGTTTACTGTGGGCTATGTGCATTTCAGATGCTAAGTGAAAGTGAGCCAAATGCAACGGGTGATCATTTACCCTCTGCTCTGTTCTCCAGGTGATTGTGGGAAGCATTTGTGAGGTGATCTGGGACATGATTAAACCAGGGGCATCATTTGGAATCAGCGTACTGAGAGCTCTGCGACTGCTCCGGATATTCAAGGTCACCAAGTGAGTTCAACAGACACGTGCAACTCCGGACACTAGTTGAACGTAAGATGTGGATCAATGTGTGGTGTGAATTTAAGGAGCAAACAGCACGTAAAACCAAACTGAATCTCTGGTCCACTCGTGAATTCACCACAACTTCTAGAACACCAAAACGTATCTTCAATGAATTAAGCGCTTTGTATGAATGCTTTTCTTCAATTCCTACGTTTTAAAGATGCAAGATTTTAACGTTGAACTTCTCAGGGCTTTAGTCTAAAGTCTGTTCCCTCTGAACTGACAATCCTCTTAGTTTGTTGTTTCTTTTTATTTCATTACATCCGTCCTGTGATTCACTGTAACTGGCAGTTATTGACCCTGACACATTGATTTGTTCTTTGCCACCTACAGTCCATATTGTCATTTGTCCTCTCGTACTTCTATTTTGCTTTAAATTTAATTTTTTTTACCCGAATCTGTGTGTTCCTTCACAACAAAAACCAAAATGTGTGTGTGTCTCTCTCTCTCTCTCTCTCTCTCTCTCTCTCTCTCTCTCTCTCTCTCTGCGTTTTCTGCTTTTCGTCAGATATTGGAACTCGTTAAGGAACCTTGTGGTGTCCCTCCTGAATTCCATGAAGTCCATTATCAGCTTGCTCTTCCTTCTCTTCCTCTTCATCGTGGTCTTTGCCCTGCTGGGCATGCAGCTCTTTGGAGGACAGTGAGTAATTTCTCTTACTTTTGACCGCTCTTTCATACTCATTTTATCTGCCTATTAAACGCAGACACACACACACACACACACACACACACACACACACACACACACACACACACATCCTGTCCTCTTCTCCTCCATCCATCTCTTCACCCGACCCTCCTCCCGGTGTGTGTGATCCCCGGGCTGGCGAGGCGGTGTTGACAGACGGGAGGACACAGCAGGTAGCTGGCAGAGCAGCAAGCACCAACTGTGGCCCTTTGATATCACTCTCAGCAGCAGCTCCATGTCTTGTAATGGCAGGGGCACCTCATGGGCTGGCCGCAGTTAATCAGGCCTCGCATCCTGTCCGTCTCAGCTGACACACACGCTTTGTCCCTCTAGTCTTTATACATCCGTGCAGTTCTTTTTTTAATTTTTAGCCTGTTGGTGCACCTAAGCCCTGTGAAACCTGAGCCTGTGCAGCGCGGTTTTAAATTCACAAGGAACTAAATCCTCAGTTTTATACCAAAAATGGTGGAATCACAAGAGTTTGTTTTAAAAGCACAAATAGACGATGCTGTGGGCTGATTTGTATTCTCAACTATGAAAGCTGGCTGGCTTACATACTACACAATGTAGTTATTCTGGCAAATTACATCTGAGATCAACATGACATTACAGGATTCTTATTTCAAAGGGTGATTTGTCTGTCACTGGTTGGCTTAGATATTTACTCGTGGCAATCTAAATACACATGTTGTCTAGTTTTGCCACGGTGTTTTGGTGGAAGCTGCTCACCCAAGCTCCTTTTTTTTTCTCGATTTTGTTAAAATGTCTTTTGGTGAAGCAATAATCAAAACAACATAGGTTTTACCTTCATGTTTTGTATACAAGAGATTTTGAGGCGATGTGTTTCTACATGAAGCAAATGAATCAGTGAGCCACTCATAGACCAGAACAGGCTTTTACTGATCGTTGCACTCAGGTGGTTTAAGCGTGGAGTCACCAAAGTGTGTTGTCGCATGTTGTCACAGCCGTGACAGATAGTGTGCACTCCCAGATAAAATGCCCCTTTCACATGAAGTCATGTCTCTTCCGACTGCACGAACATGGCATCACAATACCGCCTGTCTGTGAAGAAGCAGGCTGTAACCACGGCGTTGCGCCTCACATCCGTCATTTGCATGGCATTATTCTCTGGTGATGGACGGGTGTGAGATGAGTCTGACATCCACACGGTGCTTCCAGCGAGCCGAACACATCAGGCCGAGAACATGCTCTACGTTTTCACCCTGAAGTCTAAAAATGTGCACAGGGTGTCAAACTATTTATTTTCTTGAGCAAATAATCTTTGGTATGTAATAAAATGGCAATCTTCTATTTGTCTGCTTGCTTGTGATGTAGAGTCAAAACTACATGAAACACAGGCAGATAAATAGGCTTTCAACTCTAAATGGAAGACGAAATGACTTATTAAGGATGAGGAGAGAAGCTTTCTAATATTCTGACTTTATTTTTGGCACAGAGATTATGTTCCTGCCCTTCAAACACCCAGTGTAATCTCCTGGTAAAATTGTGAGAATTGAAAAGATAAACAGCTTGAGGCTGACGACCATCTCCCCGCTGAGACTCACAGGACATCGTCTGTGTTCAGGATTTACTGTAATATAATAATTATTTTTCTTTTCTTCTTTTGGTTGCTGCTTTGAAGCCTTCAGCTCTAAAGGTGCAGACTGTTTTTGTAGATTAACTGTGACTGTCAGAAACAGTAGAGATGGCATTTTATATTCATAGCTCAGTCCTAATATAAAAAATGAACAGTTTCCCGCTGAATGACAACCAGTTCACCAACCACATGACATGTTAAAGACTTGTGTGAAAAGTGAAAATAAAATGAGTTCATCCAGGAAATTATGACCTACAATGATAAAGCTCATTCAACAAATTACGATGATTTTTCTGACTCAATTGAATGTATTCTATTACAATTGGTCAAACTGGATGATGATGGTACTGAGGATATTCTGTAATAATAATAATAATACTGATAATCAGAACCTCTTGTAGAAACCAAAGTCAAGTAATAACGAGCCTCAATCCCCACAAACAAACGTATGAAATATATCAAATAAAGCGTTTGTCCCCAGCGAGTTTATTAAATGCCCCACGTTTCTAAGAAAGTATCTATATAGAGAGTTATAATTTAACCGGTTATGTAGACAATCTCTAATAATTTTACTGCTAAAACTGATTGTATGGTTTAAGGAGCTTTGTTCAACACGTTAATGTAGGAGGCTCTATGGTTATCTAAGCTTGCTGCTCCGCTCACATTCATTGAAACTGAAAAGAACTGGAAGAAAAAAGGGGAAAGTTAACGTGGATAATTTCACTGTAAATCAAGTTGATAGAACTAATAACCTGCATCACTGAAAGTGACTAAAAAGTCCCTGCACAGTAAATCCCAGCTGTGTACCGGCTGGAACACTTCACCTCACTCTAACAGGGACACTTCATACTGAACATAGATTATTGATAGATTATTGATTGATGGACTATTTAAAATGCTCCCTAATCATCACACATCATGCTGGTATCTGTTCAGAAATTCAAAGAAAACTGATTTTTACTTGTCAACTTCCCTGTATTAATATTTTGATCGAGGGTACCTAGTTTTCCTAAAACAAACTAGGTACAATGTTAATGCCCTGGTTGAGGCAAATAGCTTTGGTTTTGAATTGACATTTACAAGAAATGCTACATTGTAAAAAAAACACTGCTAAAAGGCACCATATTTGTTTAAAGAATAGTGTTCAATATACTACTTTTGAATTAATTATTGAATAACAATGAATAACAATCAGGCGATTAATCACAATTAAACATTGTAATTGTTTCCTTTGACATATAAATAGTATATCAATTGCAATGCTCACTAGTGTGCCAGTTCTTTTTATATCAATATCCTACAGCCTTATCGCGAAACCACTTGCAGATGCCCGTGTGTTCTCAGTGAGCGTTTAAAAACCTACACACTGTACACCCGCTGCTATTGTTTGAAGGATCAAACATGGAAAGGGCGACGGCACGCGCTGGAGGAGGGTTTGGCCTCACCCCGATTCTTGTTCTCAGTATTGATTTAACGAAGTCCCTGGTGGATGTGCGGAAGCCGAGCAGCACGCTCCCAATCCCTATTATCAGAGCAAACCGAGGTCTGTGCACACAGGCGCAGAAGCAAACCACCACCCCCTCTCCCTCCCTCCCCCCTCCGCACCGGGCCCGCTAATTCCCAAGGAAGGAGGGGAGGATGGAGGGCGAGTGGGGGGAAATGGTAGAGAGCAGGAAGGGAGGGGAGAGTTAGAGGCTCATGTGATGTGGAGAAAGTGATGAGCATGGTAGGGTGATGGACGATGCAGCAACACGGCGGAGAGGGACAAATGTAGCAGGGGGAAGCATGGGGAGAGGGAATATGATCACACAAAATGCCTTATTGAATTAAAAGCCCATCCCAGTTCTCCTCCCCCGCTCCCCGCGCCGCCTCACCCCCCTCATGCATGGACAGTACACATTGGAGCCAGACTGATCCGCGGTGTTGGTGGAGATTATTAAACTTCCACTAGTTCATCACATGGCCTAAAGTATGTGGACTACGAGTCAAACTGGGAAAGCCGTTTATTAATGGAGACATCTTTGTGCACGGGAGCATTGTCATGTTGAGACAACAAAGAACTCAAGCTCTTACCACAAAGGGAACACAGGGTTGTCTAAAACGCCGTTGTAAGTGGAATTATTGAGTGTTCCTCAACTGGAACCAAGAGGCCTTAAATCCAGCCCTACACCAAAAGGACACATCAATGTGGTTGGCCATTCACTTCTTTTGCATTCTGGTGTCATCACAAAGGAAAACAACAGGTGCTGAGCAGCACTAATATTGTATCGGCTGTAATTTGCCTTAAAATGTTAAAAAAAATGACTGTGAGCTTTTGTGCCAGCAAAGTTTCATGTACCGGTACTGTTGTTTTCTTTACTTTTAGGCCTGTTTGGAATTTGCCCCAGTCAGTTTCCTCTATTGTGAAATAGCAGAAGTACAAAGGCTCACAAAACGGTGTTCAGTTCATTAAATAATCAGTTCTTTAGTAACTTTGGTTTAGAGCATGCAAGATGTCCCAGCACTGATATCTGCGGGCATTTAAGCGACGGAACGAAATGTCTCCACAGGCAGGAACAGACAGAGACCTTGACTGAACAAAACATTCTGTTTTTTAGAAAACACAGACGGCCCTTCCCAAAAGCCAGCAAGATGATGCGAACTGGGTGTAGAAATGCCATGTACTTGGTCCTATCTGAACTTAAACCAAGCGATTACTAAGTGGTAACCGGAGGGAAGTAGAATTGGGGCTATTCCATAAAATACCTCCACCAGCACAGTTACTTTAATGTACTAATTAGGAGCAATGGCCATACACAGTGGGGAGACCAAGTATTTGATGCTGCTGATTTTGCAGGTTTTCCCACCTACAAAGCATGTGGAGTCTGTAATTTTCATCATAGGTACTCTTCCACTGTGAGTGACGGAATCTAAAAAAAAAGAAAATCACATTGTGTGATTTAAAAAATATATATTCAGCAGTTTATTGCATGACATAAGTATTTGATCACCTACCAACCAGTAAGAATTCCTTCTCTCTCAGACTTGTTAGTTTGTCTTTAGGAAGCCCTCCTGGACCTTCTGGATGATCCAGAGGAGGTATGGGAGAAGGTCATGTGGTCTCATGAGACGGAAAGTTTTTGGTCTAAACTCCACTCGCCCTGTTTGGACGAAGACAGATGAGTTGAACCCCAAGAACACCATCCCAACCGTGGAGCATGGAGGTGGAAACATCGTTCTTTGGGGATGCTTTTCTGCAGAGGGCACAGGCCGACTGCACCGTATTGAGGGGAGGATGGATGGGGCCGTGTATCGCGAGATCTGGGCCAACAACCTCCTTCCCTCAGTAAGAGCATTGAAGATGGGTCGTGGCTGAGTCTGCCAGCGTGACGACGACACGAAACACACAGCCAGGGCTCCGTAAGAAGCATCTCAAGGTCCTGGAGAGGCCTCGCCCGTCCCAGACCTGAACCCAATAGAAAATCTTTGGTGGGAGCTGAAAGTCAGTGTTGCCCAGTGACAGCGCCGAAACCTGAAGGATCTGGAGAAGGTCTGTATGGAGGAGGGGGGAGGGGGCCACTGCTGCAGTGTGTGCAAACCTGGTCAAGAACTACAGGAAATGTATAATGTCTGTAATTGCAAACAAAGGTTTCTATACCAAATATTAAGTTCGCCTTTTCTGATGTATCAAATACTTATGTCATGCAATAAACTGGTGAGTACCTATTATACCAATTACAGACCCCTGCGTGCTTTAAGTGGGAAAATCTGCAAAAATCGGTGGTGTATCAAATACTTGTTCTCCCCACAATAGCATCATGGCTAAGAGGACCCCTATGGATACTTTGATTAAACATCAGTCAGAGATAAGAAACACTGACCCACCTCTACAACCAAGACTCCCAGTCCTTAGACATACCCTGTCTGACCCCTAGCGTGACCCAGATGAACTCGCTAGCACCCCTTCATGCACAACTTCCGTCGCGATCAGTCACAGCTCACACAGAGCAACTCAAATACCCAGATCCCAACATTCTTCATGAATATAGGGAGCAGAAATCTCCTTCAGGTGCGGAACCTAAAAGACGAGTAACTTAGTAAATTGGGGCATGGCTATATTTGTTTGATATTAGATGATCCACATGCCCCGTGGCTCTGGTGACTCGCTGCTTCGCAGTTCCTCCTTTTTGCACGGGACCGGCGTCACATGGTTCCAGAGGCAGTGAGCTTGAAAGTTGGAGCGCTGGCTCCCTGGTGACTGGTAATTCCAGCTGCTTGCATGTCTCTCCACCTCCCCTTCTGTCTCATCCATTATCAGTACGAGACACCTCCCTTCATCTTTGAGTACACTAGTCTCTCTCTGAAGCTGTGAAACAATCTTCACAAAAACACCTGTTTTATTGTCTTTTGAGAGGGCTGTTTTTTTTAAGTTGAGGCCATGTTGTTTAGTTCTCTTCTCATTTATATTTATTATTATTATTATTATTTATGATACCTTTGCTTTTATGATTAAGACTTGCTGTCAGAGAAAATGTTGGTATTTGTTTTTTATGGTGGTTAAAGAATAATTGATTTGTTACTACTTATGTATTTTCTTTATCAGCAGTTGAATGGACCAACAGGTTGAACAACACAACAGTTTAGCCAGATTATATAAACCTCCTGGTCCTTTTGGATTGACAATAAAGGTCTCACAGACAAGGGGATGAAGAAGAAATAAGAAACGATGCATCTTCCACTCACAGTGGTTTGACATTTTTATTTAAAAATAAATAAAATGTAGATTCTCCTGAACTTCTGGTAGATGCCATTAAGATGTGACTGAGACTACAGTTTCGTCATTTGTTCTAAATCTGATTCTTTTAGGTTTAACTTTGAAGATGAGACGCCAACAACAAACTTTGATACCTTCCCAGCAGCGATCCTCACTGTGTTCCAGGTAAAACCATCCCACACACACCCCTGCACAGCCACACACTAACACAGAACAAGGAGCAATTCATATTCTCTGAAATATTGACTTTATGGAAAAAGAAAGATTGTTCTTAATTAGAGGGAAGTACTGGTCTGCGTACCTTCTGTCCCTTAATGAGCTCACTGATAATCCTTCAATTAGTCTGCGCTCATAACCCTTCACTCAGTAAAGTCCTTTAATTCAACGCAGATTTGCACCGTCTCTCTCGTCTTCCTCAGATTCTTACTGGCGAGGACTGGAACGCCGTGATGTACCATGGGATCGAGTCTCAAGGTGGCGTTCGTCGGGGCATGTTCTCCTCCGTCTACTTCATCGTCCTCACGCTCTTCGGGAACTGTATCCTCTTTGACCGCTCCTAATTAAAACGGCAGTGGGTCCGACCCAGAAGGAGCCGGGGCGAAACGTGGAAATGGTTTCAGGTCAAAAAGCTGCAGCATTTGTTTTGTTTGCAGGTGTGATCAGATCCTCCCTTAGAAGGGAGATGATGTCCATCAACACCACACAAGGAAATCAGAAAATTTTTTTACTTCATTTTGGAACTCTTATTATTACCTCCAGATCTTAAAACCCAGGTAGAATTAGTCATGTGATCAGATAAAATTATATTTTCCAAGTTAAGAAACTGTACATGTGTACTTTCTCCTGAGTCCGGTTGTTATTCAGACACCCTCCTGAATGTCTTCTTGGCTATCGCTGTCGATAACCTCGCTAATGCACAGGAGCTGACTAAGGTAGGGTCAGACCGTTTGAATGTTGTATTTTAATACACAAAAGAACCAAAAGAATGCTGTAGTTCTGCTTTCTACTTCTCAGAATAACATGTCAAACAAACCCCTGCATCTGCACAGGGCGTCGCCATGTGATCTATTTTCCTGGAAGCCCGTGTTGATGTCTTTGCTTTCCTTGGTTAAAGGATGAAGAGGAGCAGGAGGAGGCCGCCAATAAGAAGCTTGCCCTGCAGAAAGCTTTGGAGGTGAAAGAAGTCAGTCCGATATCTGCTGCCAACATCTCAATCACGGCGTAAGTTTCCAAACATCTCTCTGCTCCGACACTGGACCTAGACGTCCATTTGTCTCTCAGTGTGTTGTCCCTCGGTGTGTTTGTTCCTCTCAATCTGAAATGTCTCTTTATGTATGCCTCATTTATTCCCACAAGGCAAGCTGCTATTTTCTTAAAACCTATTCTATTGCTTCTTTGATAGTGGAAGTAATGGAGGAGGTTCAACCATATGCAAAAGTAATTTCTCAGTTTCATTGGTTTCCCCAACTCGTCTTTTTTTACAACACGTATTGACACTTTGTCAGATCACTTGGTGTTTTTAACGCGCTGTGGATTCCAGCGTGAATGTACAAAGACATTCAGTTAGGGCGAGGAAAACACATCATGGCTGGCCTTTTAAATGAGTACACAAACCAAGAGAAAGGTCAATAAGTGTCCGTGTTAGAGGGTATGAGGACGGGATAGTTTCTCCTCACAATCTTCTTTAATGTTTTTGCCGTCTCTATTATCAAACTTTAAGTAGCCAAATGTTAAATGACCAGAAGTAAGAGAAATGAGTCATAGAAACTAAACCTTCGTCTTTACTGTTAGAAGTTTCCATTTTCTCTAATATGAAAATGACAGGGTTGTCTCCATATAGCCAAATACAGGAGCTCCTGTCATGCACAAACGTTTGACCCGCCCTCTCTCCACCACAGGCCTGTGATTGACAGGTGTGGGCACTTGTGTCAACTGCGCCTCCAAATTCACGCTATTTTTAGAGCCTAGATGAACACTAAAATGATGAGTCCGTCGAAAGGCAAACTGGTGGTAAAACGGAGCGTTTTCAACAGTGATTCACAGCCTCAATTTGTAACGCTAGAGGTTTAAATATGCCTTTCTTTAACAACCATCTGTGCCATTAATGTGGGGAGGAAACAGATAATGCACGCTCTGAGTAGTGTTAGCGTTAGCTTGCTAATGTGTGACCCAATGAAGAATGACATACCGGTACTTGAACATAATAAATGTTGTTTCATGGTAATTTGGTTACAGAGGATTTTAAGTAATTAACATAAGTAACGCCTGAATTAGAACTTTACACAGATGATATAAATATGCTAAATAATCAGTCAGCAAACCTTTTGAACCCTTCCTCAGTGTCCCTGTGATAGTGACATACCAATGTGTCTGCATGGGACACACCAGGCTTTTAGTGAGTAAACGCTGGCCGCAGAGGAAGATGGACGGCTGAAACAAACTCGCTCGGACTTTGCAATCGCCAGTTACTCTCAAACGGTCAAGTTGAACACAAACCCCTTTCTTTACTTTGTTGCGGGAGTAAAAATAGATAGAAGAGTAATTAGATAGAAAGTAAACCTTTCATGGCAGCCTTTAGATAAAGGGACATTATATGTGTGCAACAAGCTGTACAGGTGCATTTGCCGAGCAGAAGCTGTCAAGTGTTGACACTTTCCACACAGTCTTTCTAAACTGAAGTCCACTTACTCTGAAACACACATACTTCAGCATGCAGAGAATTCATCCCAGTTTTCTCTTGGCTGTTGGACGGAGGTTTCCCAGCAAGACATTTATTAATTCCTGAATTCTATACGAGTTTTAATGGTACAACCTGATTAAGTAAATCCCTATTTTGGAACCAGTTAGTAATCACTGACAACTTGGGAAGTAGTTTGTAGGAAGCTTGTGCAACACATTCCTGCTCAGTTAACTACTGTCTTTCCCTTTTTCACCGTCGTTATTGTTAATGTGTAATCTGTGCATACTTTGATTTTTACATTGAACGGTGACAACTGCACTTTATAGTGAACAAACTGTTTTATGTGTATTATGTGTGCTGTTCAGATAAAAAAACACAGGGTTTCATTACAAAATGACGACGCCCCTCTCAACATCATTTAATAGAAATTAATACCTATAAAAGGTATTCAAAAATCAAATCATGATTTAAACTCTTACAGTTTAACAATAAAAGATCAATTCAATCAGTAACGAATGCTTTTTGTTTTGGAATGAAACTCCTGAACACTTTTCAGTTTCAGTTTTTTGTCATTATAGAAACGTCTCTGCCGAAAAACACGCTTTTGTTGCTGTTGTTGACATGTTGCACAGTTTAGTCCTGTATTGTTAGACGGGAGGGGACAGGTGGACAGACTGACAGTCCACCTGTCCCCTTCATTTGTGTCTCAATTTTCTTTTGTTTTTGTTCTGCATGTACAGTTTTGTAAAGCAAAATCGAGATGCACTCTCTCGCAGGTCGTCCATCAACAGCATTCAGTCACAGTGAGTTATCACTCTCTGCTACAATATTCTCCTCCTCGTCTCCTCTCCTCTCCTCCCCTCCGCTTTCCTTGGTTGTTTTCTTCTTCTCTCGACCCCTTGTCTCTTGTCTCTTCTTGTTGTATCCTCATTTCCTTTCTATGTTTCCTCCTTTTCTTACCTTCAGTATTGTGTTCTACTTTGCTTGTTTGTTCTCCTCAAATATCATCTCTTTTCCAATTCTCTTTCCTTTCCTCTTCTCTTTTGACTGTTGTCTCCTCTCCTTTCTTGTTTCCCATCATATCCATGTCTCCTCTCCCCACCTCCTTCCTTGGTTCCTTCCTTTCCCTCGCTTCCCCTTGCCTCTCCCCTTCTATCCTCTCTTCTCTCCTCTCCACTTTTCCTCTGGACCTTCATGAAACTAAATGTCTTCATTGCTTGGAAGGTGAAATGTTTTTAGGATTCTGAGCCATCACAAAGGGCCTCGCGGAGGAGATAAGCCGTGAGTCTGGTCTGGGCGTTATCTTGAGCCTATAAGTCGGTGATACATGAACACTCCGTGGTCTTAACCAACCGTTGTGTACTTTTGTTGATGGCTGCAGCTCCTCTGTGTCGGGGCCTGCAGTTCTTCATCTCCCGCTAGATGCCGTCCGCTGTGGATTGCTGGTGTATAGATATTTCCCTGGATGTTGCATCACCACAGGCAGTTTGACATTTAAAGTCTTAGGACATCACTTAAAAAGACAATATGAGAGCACAGTGCAAAATCTGCTGTCCTGCAGATTAGAGTGCAGATGAAAGACGCTTATTTAGCACCTCACCTGCGATTACAGGCACGTATTGCTGGGAGTGGGTGTGATTTCTTTGACAGTGCCTTTTGTGTACATGTGCTTTCTCAGTATATCTCACTAAATCGCACTCACGCCCCCTCAGCGCTACTGTCCTTCACTTTTCTTTCTTTTCTGTGAACATCTAAGCGCTTATCTGTGTGTCTGCTGCTCACCTGTCTGTGCATACCTGTCCTGTGTGTCTTCTGTCTGTCTTTTAGGAGTTATTCTGTCTACTCCTCCCCCGCCCGACGATTCTTAAGGTACAGGTGACAAGATGGAACAAACTTAACTAATCCATAAAGCCTCATGTAAATACCTCATACTACAGAGAAACAAAAGGCAATGCCGTCATATACGATGGATGGACACATCAAAAAACAAGTTTTGATGGTGTTTTTGACTCTATTCACGTCTTTGGAAACACCCATGTCCAAAGAAACTGCACAAAAAATGTCATTGTACGTTGTGACTTTATTATTACCACACAAACCAGGATTGGACCCCGAACCAACCTCAACGTTAACCATGTGTCATTGTCGGTTCATACAACGTTCATATGAAACATATTATGAAATTCTGGCGTCTGCATGACAAATAAATAAATCCTATTTCACCCATTCATGTGATCTCTCACCACATTGCTCTGAACCAGGATTCAGCTGTTTAAAAAGGATGCATGTGAGGATTGAGCATCGCTCACAGCATGCTGGTCGTACCGGTGCCATTTCCATATCACCTCAGTCAAAAAGAATTAGTGAAAGATTTACTGCCATTTTAGCGAGATGTGCCACACGACGTGTCAGGCAGTTGTATCAACAGTTGCTGTTGATACAAAATTTACTACACATTAGCAGTTAACAAATTACAAAAATTAGCACATTTGCCTTTTCTTTATACAAGGTGTAAATAAAGACGCTTAAAAACATTGTCTGTGCACTACTATGTTTTCCATCAGCCCATGACATCTTCTCTTACAAGGGATTCATTTAATTTTAGTTCAGTAGCTTATGCTCATTTGTTCTGGTATATTGTGTTTTTATCTGACTATTTCTAATAATTACCCTTAGTAATGCACCCCGTTTTAGACATCTTTAATTGATTAGGTAGTGTCAGGAGGATCGTCATGTGGCCGTGTTTGCAGACAGCTGTGCGATGCAGTTTCATGAGACCGGCTTTCAACTGTTGTATCTGTATTAGTCCACGAGGAGCCTGTTTAACATCAGCTCTTTTGAACAAGTAAAGGGTAGAAGCAACAAAACACAGTGTGTGAAAACTGCCATTATAATCTCCCTTTGCTTTTTTTCATCTTTCAAAATAATGAGTTGTTCAGAAGAGAGATTCTCTGGAGAACTCATTCGACATGAAAACCACACTGGGCAGTAAGTTGAGGTAAATTCAATTAAAAACATTTCTATAAATAGATCCAGTCAGTATTCACTGGTAAAAATAAATATCCCACTAGGCTACAATTAAATAATTCTTTCTGTATCAAAGTATGCCAATAATTAATTATCAGACTCAACCATACTATGATCAGGTCATGTCATCAAAGCAGCGTGTAACCACCCTCAGCCGTAGACAAACAGCAACACTTCAGAGTAGCTGTTGGGAAATCACAATCGTATTTTAGTTGGACGATGTGAGCTACTTTCTTCATACGACCCTCAAGCATGGTAAGTGAAAGCTTTACCATGGTGAACATTTGTGCTGACGCATCCATAGACCACCTCGTGTCGGCTTACCTATAACTTACTTTACCCAATTATGGACGTGATCAGGTGGAGAAAACCTGTCAAGTGTTATTTGTAGAAGATTGCGGCGTGGATATGGATGAAGCCGTGGCTGGTGTTGTTCTCCCAAAACCCAAACAAACAAAACAATCCCAAAAACCAATCATATAAAATGTCCTTGTTTTTCCCTCTCCCATGATCCCTCTCTGTGGCTTTGACTCCTATTTGTGCAGTAAAGAGCAGCAGCGCTCGGCAAAGGCCATGTCAGTGTGGGAGCAGAGGACCAACCAGCTGAGGAGACACAACATAAGGACAAGCAGCGAGGCTTTGTTCAACGAGCTCGACCCGGAGGAACGCCTCCAGAAGTCCTCCACCCTCCATCTGCACCCGGACACGAAGACTCACCTGGACCGGCCGCTCGTGGTGGAGGCCAAGAACGGCGACAAGCCCAGCAGGCCTCCCGAAGGGCCGTGGGAGGAATCGGGCAATCCCCGGCAGGACGGGGTGGGGGACAACTTCCACTCGCACTCCAGGAAGCACCACCGGCACCGCGACAGGAACGGGGAGAGAGGGGATGGAGGCGAAGCCCGGGGCGGGAGGCACCACACCCATCACAGCCGCAGCAGAGACCACAACGGCGACGGTGCCCAGGTGAGGGACAGTAGAGGGGAGAGCGGCAACGGCCGCGACGGAGGCCAGGGACACCGGCACCACCGGCAGGCCGGCTCCCCCGAGGAGGAGGCCAAGGACTGTCGGTCAGGGGGAGAAGAGAGGGGCCACCGTCACCATCACTTCCATCGTGCACCAAAAGAGGGAAACGGGCTGATGGCCAATGGTGCGCAGGGAGAACGCAGGGGGAGGGGTGGAGGTGGAGGAGGAGGGGGGGACAGTAATGGGGAGAGAAAGGGCCGCGGCTCTCGTATGGTCCGAGCTCAGTCCACTCTGGAAGGAGACGACTGTAAGAGGAACAAGAATGGAACCAAAGGTCACAGGTAAAGACTGCACAAAATAAGTCAAAATCACACAGGAGTTTGTCACTGCAGCACCCCGTTTCCATCGTATAGTACTGCTCCTCGTGTTCTTGTGTGGCATGGTATTGAAGTTAGCGAGAGACGCACATCACACAGGATTTTTGTTTGGGCAGGTCTCTTAATCCCAAAGTGCTCTCGTGCATGGTCGCCCCTGTCCTCATTGTATGAATGGGTGAAAAAAAAAGCATTAAAAAAGCGCTTTGAGTGGTCTTAAGAATAGAAAAGCGCAACACAAGTGCAGTCCATTTACCACTTAAATTGACTATAATCACTACTATAATGACAATGTATTAAACGACAATGTGAATTGAGTAGCTCGTAGTGATGAACCTACACATAATGAACACCTGAATCTGCACCTCTCAACGTTGTGCAGATTGACAGGGATTTTTCCTAAAGGTGTGCTGAGCTATTGTGGTTCGTCTCAACCCTACTATTGTTTGAAAAGCTTCAAAAATAAGCATTGCACAATCGCTGCTCAGCAGACAACCAGGCCCACATGGTTTGGGAATAGGTGGTGAACATCGTAGAGCAATTACCAACAAGAGAGATTTTCTTTTAGTGAGGTCGTTGGCTAACGAAGAAGCAGATCAACTGAAACGCTGGTGACATGTCAAGTGTTGTGTTCAATTTCTTTCCGTTGCCTCCAAGAGGGAAAATGATTCCAGCATTAAGGTACGATATTTAGTTCTTTTAAAATCCCCCCCAACAGACAAATTAGAGCAAGTGTTTCCTGCTGCTCAAGTGTCAGTGTTTATGTTTTGTTTAACGTTGAATGAACAGCCAGTAGAAAACCACTGATGTTTGAAAATGTTAGTTAATAATGAGTTATTTTAGTTTTACATTACGGGAAAAACTTAGAGCACTGCACTACCAGACCAGGTACTGTAGCGGCGCTCTCACAGACCTCCGATCGCGCCGATGTTTTCCACACAGCAGAATTGTGACATCAATTCCTGAAAGCTCTCTTAACATGAATGAATATGAACTCAGAAAAGAGACCTACAGTTGCAGAGTCTTGCTTCATTTTATATCTTTTAAATATGAGTTCATGGGGTGTAAAAGCAGCATTTCAAAGCATCATCTAAACACTCGCTATAGCACTCTGATGGACTTGTTAGGAAATAGTACAAAATACTTTAATCCTTGCAGCCATTTTTCTTTGCGTATAAACACAGTAGAACTGTGTTTGGATAACAGTATAACACCATCTTAGCCTGCTGCCACTTATGTTGTGATCTGTTTCCCAGGAGGACAGAGGACTCGTATGGATCTCATTTGTCAGAAAAGGCTCAAAGCATCCTGTATGTTTCAAGCGTTCGAGTACAATGATGCGTGTGATAAGACGCACATCTCTTTCTCCAGGGACAGGCAGCCGGACTCTGAGGAGGACGGCCTCGCCTCCAGCCCTCCGCAGCCGATGCGGAGTGGCCTGAGTCCTGGAGAAAAGCAAGAGGATGCCGACAACCAGAAGAACTCCACCAGGGCCAGCCAGGCGGGCCTCAACAGCAACGCCATCATCATCCCTGTCACCGTCACTTGCCCGCCCAGAGAGACCACCATCATACCCGGTGAGTCACGCTCACACCAAGTGAGGGAGCAGTAGGAAGGAAAAGTCTTACATTTTAAGCTTTTAAACATTATTCACATTGTAACGGATTAAAACACCGTATTGTCATTTTTTCCACTAGTCATTAGTCATTGAGGGTAATTAAAGCTAATTAAAAATAGCGTGAGATCTCAGGAAAGAAATGAATGTGTGAAAATCTTAAGTAATAATTGATTCTGAAACCATGTTGTTTTTTGATGATCCATTTTAATGGATGGAGAAAGTAAATCATAAAACAACTTCATAGAATCTGTCAGAAAAAAAACAGTTTGTGCTTCCTTGGTTTATTGAGTGTGTTTATCTTCTTCCACACCAGTGAACAACCTTGATTGCGATAACTTTGGACTCAGTGAGGAGAAGAAAGACCTGGAGGAGGAGGAGGAGGACGCAGCTAATGGGCCTCGGCAGATGCTTCCCTACAGCTCCATGTTCATCTTCGGGCAAACAAACCCGTAAGTCATAACAGTGAAGGAACTTGGAGGGGTGACAGACAAATATTAATAGTTTCATTCAAATTAAGGGCAACAAAAACTTTCTAAAACCGTTTCATGATCAGACTTTTTCACCATGTGGTGGGGAAAAAAACAACAGCATGAGGTGAATCCAAAGATGTTGATTTAATTCACCGACCTTGTTCTAGTAGATTCTATTCACGGGAAAACAACACGAGCGTTTCCACTTACTGGTGAATAGTTCAAATACTTCCCTCAGTGAATACTTTCACTGTGAAGGTTCTGACTGTTTTCTATGCAGATATTATGGCAGATCTTGCATTGTGTAACAAGAGGGAGAGCTGCGTCTCTCCTCTATGCTGACAATGTAGTTCCATTGGCTTGAGACCGTCACCTCCAGCGCACACTGGGATGGTTTGGAGCTGAGCGTAAAGCAGTTGGGAGGAGCGCCAGCACCTCAGACCTTAAGCCAAAATGAAGGGTTGGTGTGCTGAGCATCTCAGGGTGTGACGCGCTGAGGCCGGAGCTTTTGATCCAAAGCCACATTTCGCCCAAACTCTTGATAGGGACATTAATATCAATCCTGGAAAGTACAGAAAACGTTATTTGTTTGTAATGTGTGTATATTATTGTGTATGATTTTTTTTTAGCATTACATGTAAATTCCATTAGAAGACATAGATGTCCAGGAGTTGTTTAGAAAGCCTGAGGTTGATACATGTGCACCTCATTGACCTGACGGGGACGGATACAAGTGTTACAGGAGGACATAACCTAGTGAGCAACTCAAGGCGTACTTTTACATCAGTTTGTGTGTGTGGTCTTGCAGTGTGCGTCGGCTGTGTCACTACGTGGTCAACCTACGCTACTTTGAAATGTGCATCCTGATGGTCATCACCATGAGCAGCATCGCCCTGGCAGCCGAGGACCCAGTGCAAGCTAACGCGCCGCGCAACAACGTGAGCTGGACTGACATCTAGACATCATGAATAAACATCTGCAAGTGGACCTCAAACACACTGCTTGTCACACACGCACTTCACACACAAACACACTTCATTTGGGCCGTTTTTCTTTCCTTTTTGGTGTGGTTGCAAAGCTGACAGAGCTTGCGACCTCTGACAGGGCAGAAGAACATGTTGTGCATAACTGGTCCGTTCTCTCACACACAAGCTTCCTAAGGGTCTCAAACTGAAAATACAAGTCTGTCTGTGAAGAGTCAACTCAGAGGATATTGTCTCGCTTTCTTTCTTTGCAGATTCTCAAGTATCTGACTATGTCTTTACTGGGGTCTTCACCTTTGAGATGGTGATTAAGGTGAGGGGGGCTGAAAGAATCCACGGATACTCAGATTTGAGCCCAGCAATGTTTTGGTAATTTGCAATTCAAAAACTGGGATGAATGTGCTTGAAAATGTAAACTTTTTTTCAACGTTTAAATTACACAACACAATGGTTTCAACAGCATGTTTTTCATCCAATTAGGATTTAGGATTATAGTCATTTTCAGGCCAATTGAGCTTGGTTCATTGCACACAGCCAACAGCCCTGTCATTTCACTGGCATCGCTAATTGGGTTTGTGGTTTTACATTTCTCAACTGTTATAACACTCTGTCCTGTTTCCGAATGCATTCGATTATGAATGCACTGCGGCACTGAAATGGAAAGGTACTAGATATTAAAGCCAGAGGTCTTCTTAAGATGTTTCAGAAGGAGAGAGGGTTCTAAATATTGTCGTAAAACCACAAAAAAGCTACTGAGATTTTTAAAACGATTGTTATATTTTTTCTGTGACTCGAGATGATTGACTTGGGACTGCTCCTCCATCCTGGCGCTTACTTCCGTGACCTGTGGAACATTCTGGACTTCATTGTGGTCAGCGGAGCCCTGGTGGCCTTTGCCTGCTCGTAAGTCCACTTTTCCTTTACTCGTCACTGCGGGGACTGAATATAATATATTACATTCAGTCTGGTTGTCTTGGGTTAGAGTATTTTAAACTGATGTTACCTTCACTCTAGTCCCCTTCTCTGGAGCAGGCTAGCATGCTAACACACTGGGGCCGTTCTAGTGTCTTTTTCCAAAATAGGGCGGGGGGGGGGGGTCTGTAATCAGGCAAATGAGTAGTAGCGGTAATCAAAACGGAACAACAGCACTGCATGTCGTCAGCGCAAAACGCGTTGAGATAAACAACAACAACAAGCTTCTCATCTGTCGGAAGCGACAACCATTCCAGACATTCTTGGTCATTACCTCACTCGGATTACCTGCACTGATTGGAGTCAGCCAGGGTTGCCTTTGGATGAAATGAAATGTGTCCGTTAGTAAGCAAGGATCGCTCATTAGCATTAGTTTCTGTTCGACCGCGCATGCGTAACGTGATTTCTTTAATCAATGGCAGGCGATCTATGCGATCCACCTATTGAGGTCCAGTGCTGTAGGTGCAATGTGGGCGTGCGGGGCCTTCAGTTAGCGGTTTGCTGTAGCAACTTTGTATTTGGTCCAATAAACAAATTCACTCAATGAATTGTTATTATATGTACAATATTTTTATCTGTGTGGTGCGATTGCAATTAGCTATCCAGTAAGACACACCGCTTCCATTCACATGTTTGGTATTGAATTGAATCGGTTGGTATCTGTTTCACTTGAAGGCGACGTGTATAGAAGAGGTTGTATTGTTGCTTTGGTAGCCTGCGGCGCATGAAACCTCGAAGAATATTAAACTGATAAAATCTCTAGGTTAGGTGGGAAATACATGTTAACCACAGCCACAGTATTAAGGGCGGTAATTAGCCCCTCGACGCTTACAGACCTGCATTTTTGGCCTTTGACGTAAGAAGGTGATTACATATTCTGTTTCATCCAGTGCCGTCTGATATTTCCCAGACAGTATATCCGCTAGTCCGTCCTGACAGTTTGTCCACAGTTAGTCCCCTGTGTATTTTTCTTTGTACTGCTTCTTGTCGCTCAAATCTCTTCTCCTTCGCCAGCTGTGTATTGATGCTTCTCTCTGTCTTTTATCTGTTTTTGACTGTTTCTGTTATCTCTCTTTCACTTTTCCCCGTCCTCTTTTGTTTTCTGGTTCGGATTGCTTTCAGGAGCCTTATGGGGTAATGCTGCCTGGTCTCTCTGCCTGTGTATTTGTCCATGTGCTTGTTTTTTTCTCAGTTTTTGTCTTCTGTTGTCCTTCATCTCCATCTCAGTCTGTGTCATTTGCGGAGTTCATTGATTCGTCTGCAGCAGCCTCCCTCTCTCAGCCAAATGTTTTGAACAAATGTCATATTTTGTCATTTGCTCTTATCATCATCGTCACAGTTGGGATCAAAGATTCTGGCATTTATTCTGTTTGTGTTTTGTAAGTGTGTCTTACATCTGCATTCGGGTTACACAAGTGCGTTCACCGGTTTTCCAACTGTCGGATATATTTTAGACGTGTTCGTTGGAAGAATATACATAATTCATAGCGTGGCAGCACTGTGAATCAGAAACATACCACGTTGCCGGACACAGGCTTTCAGAAGAAGAAGTAAGTAAAAGGTGTTTTAGATTCCATTAACACAAATGAAATGAGTGCAGTCCATAATAAATGCACAAGTATAAAGATGCTGATTAAAATCTATTATGGAGAGTGAGTGGTAAATAAAAAGCTCTTTTTATTTTATTGAACACGAATAATATTATAAAAAGATGAAAAAGGAGCTTTCAGTATCAGTATGTGTCTGACCAGAAATGAGATTTATTCTAAAGCCACCGTTCATATAAATGGAATACTTTCAGGTATTAGCATCATTATGTCCAGCAGTCTCAGTTCAGTCTGACGTCTGCCTGACAAGTAAGGCTGTCAAAATTGCTCAAAAAGGACGTTCGGACAAATTTATACAACGGGACATAACTACTTGTATAGGTCATTTATTTAAGTTTAAACATATTTAAGAACATATTACCTACACAAAAATAAGTAAATAAGTAAACTAAACTACCAACAGCGCAGACCCCTCTCTCTCTGCGCGTAGCGGTTTAAATGAACCTTAACAATAAACAAATGCTGAGTGCTGATCAAGAGTTTTGTGCAAGCAATTTAAGGTCGCGATTCTTGTTCTAAATATGTCAGGCTTCATCCAGTGATTGAAACTATATTCAAATATAGAATATCCGTTGTCAGCCCTACTGACAAGACAAAGGTAAAAAGAGCGAGCTTCAGCCGGGGTTCATCAGTCCATCAGTTCACATCCCTCGTCTCTCATCAACTCACATCCATGGCATGTAAGCGTGTATCCGGCTACATTCACACCGCAAGCCTTAGAGGATAGTTGACTGCCGTCCTCCTGACGAGGAAAGAAACACGACTAGTGAAACGATCAGAAAGGGTTAGGAGAGAACAAGAAAACAAAGACAAACTGTAAATATATTATTGTGAAATCCAAAACGGAGATCCATGCTTCAGCCACAACTGTGTCGGCAGGTGTGCTCACTTTCCAATTTACCTAAAAGAAAAAAGGCTTAGACTGATTTGTCCAAACTGTCTCTGCCCAGCCGACTTCATTTGTCACATAAACGTTGTGGTGGCTGGGAACCGTTCACGTTTCTATGTCTATGGAAGAAATACGCATAATGAAAAGCACCAGCTCGTTTTTTTGCACGTTTACAGGAAAAACATGACCTACCCACTTTATATCTAAATGGCTGGACCAGTTTTGAAACTAACCCGCGGAAACCCACTCAGTCACAAATGCCGTTGACCTTAACAGACCCAATAAAGATCTATGTAATTTCATTGAAACCATTTGTATGCTTATTTATTCAGATATTTGAAACACAATTTGGTCTCTCATCTCCTGAGACAAACTCTTCAGCAGGACCATTAAAAATTAAACATTAAAAGAAATTGCAAAAGTGGGCAGCGACGTGAATCCAGTGCAGGGGAAATAAACCCCAGTTAGATCGAGACGGCAGTTTGTTATTCAGTACACAGCAGATTTGGTTGACGATGTCTTTAAAAAGCATATCTGGTTTTCTCAGCTGCAGTGTGAACGTGGTCATTGGTGTCCTCTCATCTTGGTTTCTCTCTCAGTGTCCATGACTATAAATGTGTTACATTCCTGTGTGAGTAACACACAATCACTGCAATATGTGATCCAACGTGTCTGTTGTTTCGCTCTTTCACAGGTCAATTAGTTGAAGTTCCTTCTATTTGTCTTTTATCTTCTTTTTCTTTTCGAATATAAGTTTTAAAAGGCCAATTAATGTCACTGTGTCTTCATGCCTGTGACATCAGCTTAAAATGTTTGCTTTGCTCTGTCTTTCTATGCTTGTGCTCTCTATTTATGTGGGTGATGTTTGTGTGTTATGTTTGTCATTGCTTTTTTTTCCTCATTAGATCGCATCAAAGCGTGTCCAGGTGGGAACTGTCCCTAACTACCTTTTGCTTATTGCCCCCCCCCCCTTCCCCCCTCCCAGTCCTTTTCTTCCTCACACGTGAAAAACCTGTTCATCAACCTGTCTGAATAGATTCTAGGAAAGACCATGGTTCCCCCTCCCTCCTCTCTGACCTCCTGTCCCAATATTGGGACATTCAGACAATATTGGGAACTCCACATCATAGCTTTCAGAAGACCAACATATAGCTGCTGACGGCACCAGTATGAGTCAGCACTTAATAGATTTTCACTTCATCAGATATCGGTTGAATCAGAGGACTGAGGCAATAAAGTCCTTCTGATTGGACGCCAGCTACCAGCTGAGAGACACACGTCATGATGAAGAGGCTGCTGAGCACATTTAAGTTAGATAGCATATTTAACCTGCGTCAAACACACACATCTGCTCTGTAAAACACCTTACACACAAATAAAACAGTTAAATCAGGAATCAGGAAACATTTATTGCCAAAATATGTCATACATACAAGGAATTTGATTGGCGGTTGGTGCGTGACAGTAGACAGCGTAACAATAAACATATTAAAAACATGGCAGAGTCCTCTTACCAATGCGGTAATTATTATATTATTATAAGTTATTTCAGTTAAAAGCCACCAGTGCTGTTACTGAGAACACACAACCTTGTATCCATGCGCGCACACACACATACACACATTATATCTTATTTTCCCACGGCCCTTCTGAAAGCTATTGGGAGGCTGTTCTTGCCGTCACAATGTGTCGCGTTCCTCAAATAGCGAGGACTGGCATCGAGTTTGCAGACTGCATGCCAGGGTAACCGAGTCATCCGAGCATGAGAGCCGCATGCCAATTTGTTAGTGTTCCGCTGAGAAAGGAAAGGCCTAAAATGTTTGGCACCGCGCTGTTCTCCCTCAGTACGTAAGAGACTTTTACAAACATTACAAACAGAATTATTTAATTATTGAACTGGGACAGGAAGGTGGTAAAAGCCAACAGTGCTTTATTTTACAGAGACAATCATCTTCATGCTATTTCTATAGAAAGGAGCCGGTACCTTATTTCCTGGAAAGGACTTAACTGGAACATTATTTTTCTAATAATGTTCAATTGCCCATCGTGCACAAGGAAGAACCAGGTAACTGCCAGAGGTAGTTAAGTAGAAAATTGTTTTTATTTTTAGGGTGGGAGGAACTGGGAAGGTCTTACTGAACGGATATTTTTGGTAACACAATCTTCTGTGGCAATGACAAAAATACATGTATTTATTAAATTGTATGTAGACTGCATGACAAGCTTTCCATTGTAGTTCAGCACATGTCCAGTTTACAAAGATTACTTTATCTTCACACTTGTTTTGTGTTTGTGTTTTGGAAAAGGTTGCAAAAGAAGACACAACCCTTGAGAGACCTGTAAATCACAAATCATGTATTCCTGGAGTTTTACGATTTCAAGCTTGAACACATGGCCCTCTTTTTACAGTAGTAAAGTACTTTAAAGTGTTTTTCGTCCCCCGCGTATGACGGTAACTGATGCTGGTGCAAGAGAAAACGAGACCTCTTGGGGCGACTAACAGACTTTTAGACCAAATTGAGTCTCTAGTATTGTTGTGTCCTTCTCCACATTCTTCACTTAACACATGTGAATATATTGCAGTGCACACACAGATATGAAAACACTCCCAGTTTCTAAATCGAACAATCGACAATCACTTTTTATAAAGAATAACAGCCACACTACGTGTACATGAAAATGATTAATTAACAATTGTCCTTGGCCAATGTCAGTGTGAGTGAACGATGGCTCAGCTGTATTCCATCTGCATGGGACCAGTTATTAAAACCCGCAACATCTGCAATGACTGATGGCAGTGGTCCTCCAATGACGCTGCTTCCTCAAGCTGATTCTTTGTGCTTTCCCTCCACACAGTGTGGAATATCTGTTATTCTACAGAAACAGCCTGCTAGCTTCATTGGACTATTACATGCAATTTGCTGCAGTTAGATCCGTTAAAAACGGATGTTGATGAAAAATGTGTTGGAATTTTGTTTTGAACTAAATGATGATACCTCAAAGGATAATTCAAAAGATAATCGTGTATTTGCAGGGCGATTATTGATGGTGAGTGGAGGACAAATATGGATGCAAGCAAAAGAAAAAAGAGAACAGACGGAAAGAAAGAGAGGACCAAAATAAAAGAAGAAGAACGAAATAGACAAAAGGAAAGAGGGAAGAACTGGAAAAGAGAAGAGAGGGATGAGATACAGCTGAGGGGATCTAAATAACGAATAAAAAAAATACGAATGAACAAAAGAGAATGACAAAAGTCAGCAAAGACATGCAATGACAAACAAAATCAAAGAAGGAATAAATGAATGATGAAGTGGTGGAGCAGCGTCTGATATTTGCACTCACGCACAGTGCTTGAATGAATCTTCCTCTCCTGTTGCATGCGTCTATAGAATAACATGAACTCATTTGCATGTACTCTACTAACAGAATCTAAGGAGGGATCTATCCACGTGCACAGTACACCTGACGAACCACAGTCTTGCTGGTGTTACTGGAGGATGGGTCGAAAGGGTTAACATGCATGCCGGTGACGCCGCGTCGCCCGGACTAACTGTGCTCTCAATCTGCACAGAGGGACGAAGGGCAAGGACATCAACACCATCAAGTCCCTGAGGGTCCTCCGAGTCCTGCGGCCACTCAAGACCATTAAACGGCTTCCCAAGCTGAAGGTACGGTAATCCAATCCGTCACCCATCCAGTGCATCACGAGAAAAAAACAACAACAACAAAGCAGAGCAGCCAGCTGGGGCTGCAACCGGTGTCAATCACACGCCACCATGAGTCAAATGCATTTATAGTCCACCGAGGAGGAATTGCTCTTCCTAATTTACAACAGTCGCGTTTTGAATGTGTAGTATCTCTTTCTCAATAATGAAGCTTTGATCGCTTTGACCTTTGTGGTGCTCTGTGTTGTGGAGACTGGAGAAGTTAAAGTCACACAAATTGAAAGTAAGTGACAGAAAATTGCTTCCTTTACTGAAGGCGTCCCGTGCCAGGATGCTGATTCTGGCACATACGCTCCTCTAAAGACAGAGATAGACTTTTGTCCAGGGGGCTGCACAGCGCATCCCGTGCAGAGGAGAAAGCATTGACATTTTGTCCCTGGCTAGTTGTGTGAGGCGTTAGTCAACAATACGTATATTTTGAAAGGCGAGTACATGTAACAAGTGGAAACTGACAAATATTCAATATATTCCTCTCAAACCCCCTGCTGTGTGTTTAGTATGTTTCATGATTTTCCCGAAATGACTACAGCGGTGTGTTTTAACAACAGTACGGTTTGGGAGATACTGTTAATGCAGTTCATATTTGATTGGCGTGGTTGAAAGGGTTTAAGTGGCTGTTCTTGATATAATCATACAATTTCAGGTTTTTTTAACCTGTAATTTAGACTCCGAAAATGTACCTGCATAATTGTGACTGGTTAATCGTCGCATCACAATGTGCCGACTGCCTCTTTCACTGCGGACAAATAGCTATCCACTTAAATAAGCGACATCGCTGTTTTGTAATTTCCTAAATAGTAATCCTCTCGTTTTCCCTTTTTCCACTAACCTTCAGTTACTGTACACTTAAGTAGAAATGTTAGTGAAACATGCAGAACTATTACACGTGTTTGGCAAAACGTTTAATGAACACAACTTTGTAATAATTTCTACGTTTTAAAATTATTCTGATGAGTGAGGCAACATTTTTGTATCATCGAAACATTAGATCATCCCGGGCGTAAATCCTTTTCTATACAAACACTGCCGGCTAGCAAAGTTTGACATTCTGAAATTGCACGTAGTGCTTCTAGGTAAACGGGAATCGTATGTAGACTTAGTGATTATGTATTGTGACCCTCATCAAGACCGTCAGCTGATGCCTCTCACGCAGAAACGACAGCTTCCCTCTGCTGCGTGAAGGCAGTAGATCTTCCAAAAGTAATGGAGCTGACAAAAGATGAAAGCTCTCATTGGAGTAATAGAAGTGGGATGATTGAGGTTGATCAGAGCTGGCAGCAAGACGCTCATCCACAACTCCTCCTGGATGCTTGACGGACAGGCTGGTAGCGGAGGGGCGAAATGTGCTCCGTCGGGTCTCTGGAGACAGAAGCTTCGATAGCCGATCACTCATGCAGCCGCGGATTCATCGGTTAGATTGCCTGCGTGTCGGGATGGATAAGCGGAGCGCTTCATCTCACAGAGAGAAGCAAAGAGACGAAAAGAGAGAGACTGTCGGACAGGGAGACGGGCTCCATGCGAAGGTGTGTTCATGTACCCAAGCGAGCACAGAAGGGTCTTATGACAAGGATTTCAATGAAAAAAGGTGCCACTTTTTAGTTCTCAAAGCAGATTCAAGGTACAAGCTGGAAAAGGGTATTTCAGTGAGCGCTGTTGAAACTATTATTTTCACCTTTCAGCCAAATTAAGCTTAGTTAACCTCGAACTGGAGACTTTTCTGCTTCCAAACCTTAAGTGGTCACTAGAAAAAGATTGGAAGCAATGCTGTGCAGAGGAATTGTATCCAATTTTATTTTTCTTCCTCAGAAGTTTGATTAAAAGATTATTAAATTAACTGAATCCCTTTTTAAATTAGAGTTTATGTTTCAACACATTAAAAAGTTATTAAGTCAAGTCTTCACATTCAACCGAACACGTTTATTTTGAATGAATTTAGTGTTCTTTTCATTCTGTTTAGTCTTTGCATTTTCACGTGGGCAAACAGCCTCATCTTTTTTGGTAATTTACCTCATTTATTTATCCACGCTGCGGTTCTCCCACACTCTTCAACCCACCTACATCGCTAGTGATCTTCTTTATTTCCCTATTGAATGGAGCGTGTACTTTTTCCAGGCGGTGTTCGACTGTGTCGTGAACTCTCTGAAGAACGTTCTGAACATCCTCATCGTCTACATGCTCTTCATGTTCATCTTCGCTGTTATCGCTGTTCAGCTCTTCAAGGGCAAATTCTTCTACTGCACCGACGAGTCCAAAGCTCTGGAGAAAGACTGCAGGTACTTCAGCCAAACTCGCCCGTCCTCACGTACTGATGGAGCTACGGTGGTCTCTGTTGGCTGGCACCTTCCCTTTTATTTCAGATGATCTAGTTTTGTCTCTGTTGCCTCCTTTTCCCCCGGATTCCGTCTCCTCTCCTCTCGTCTCTCTCTTTCAGGGGTCAGTTTCTGGACTACCACAAGGACGACGTGGCAGCTCAACCAAGAGAGTGGAAGAAGTACGAGTTCCACTACGACAATGTCCTCTGGGCCTTCCTCACGCTCTTCACGGTGTCCACCGGGGAGGGCTGGCCGCTGTAAGTCGGAGCAACCGCCATATCAACACCTCATGCTTCAAATTTAACTTTAAACATGCGGTGTGCCGCTTTTAAGGGGGAATCTATTTACAGGAATGGATTTATTAGCGTATAATATGCTCTTAAGAATGTCTGTTTTCATTTGATTAAAATGAGTCATTCATATCTACATATATCGCCATGTTTCTACTGTGGCCCAGTAGAGACAAACCAAACCAATTGTGGGTTTGTGTTACCCGAAGGACACCATAGCTTTCCCGCACACTAGTGAAACTGGGGTAATGTCAGCTGCAAACCGTGTTATGGCTGGCCTTCTTCTGACCTCTATGGCTCCTTAATAGTGTTATTATGTTATTAAAGACGGCCTGTGAGCGAGGCGAATGGTGTTGCTAACACGTTGCGGTCCTTGGCTCAGATTACCGCCTCATGAAAAGGGAGGAGTGAGCTGAAGGGGCATTCAGTAGGGTTACAATCTGCAACCACTCCACTAGATGCAACCAGATATTAGACACCGTCCCTTTAAGCCAAACATGAAATGCATAAATCAGGGTTAAATTTGGTTAAACGTTAAAGATGGCCCAAATACATGACTTTAGTTGTGTTTATTCTTGTAGTTAAAGTGTCGTTGAATCATTTATTCTTCTGCATGTTAGAACTTCTTTCAGTGACTTGCACCGTAAAGCACTCGTGACACCTGGAACCCCGTCGGATTTCTCCCAGGCGTAATTACTGTGCGTCTAAAGATGCAATCAAAGCCCATTGCATAAATCTCTTCAGTCTGCTTTTCTCCTCGCCTGAGCTAAAGTGTCACTGACAGATTTATTATCATCATCCTCATCTCTGTAGAGGACGTTTGGATGTTTGCTCATTTTATTCTTTGTATTTACCTGACGATGAAATGTGAATTGTAAAACAGACTCTGGTCATGGTCATCCAAAATCACACAGCCAAACGTGACAAAGTGACAGCACGTTTTTAAGGATGGAGTTAAATAAGGTTATGATTTGGGATATTTGTTGAGAATTGTAGGACCAAAAAGTACCGAAAAGAACTAACAAAAAGTTAACCCTAAAATAGTGCAAATGCGTACCCTCAAGTAAAAGGACTTCAACCAAAATGAAGCACAGTGACTTGTCTGTGAAGATGAGTGGAGCTGACATGTTCGAGCTCCTAAAACACCCAATAAACAATTCATGATGATAATATATAATTGTCAGACTGGTGCCGTCTTTGAGCAGGTCCAACGTTGTTTCTCCCGGATAGCAGATGGTCTAAGTATTTATATGCAAGGATTTGCTAGTGTTTTTTCCTTAAGGAAGCAAATAAAAAATCAAGCCGGTACCTTTCACAGACCTGAATGTAATATCAATCCACCATCTCGGATCTTGAACATACTGATTTTACTTTTGCCAAGTGTGCAACTGGCAGCGAACTTCGCAAGAAGTGAAGTGCAGTTGAACAAATGACCTCCTTAATGCTCCATTCCTCCGGAACATTCTCGTGCTCCTGTGTTGTGATTAAAATGGTTAACATGTTGTGAAGGTTAGCTAACAACCCCGCTTTCCAACAAAACAAGACTAGACACTGGACTTTTACCCGTCCTCTACTCTCCTCTGTGTCCACTACAGGGCCTGTGGTTTATTTTCCTTCTAAGGTAATCTTAGAGTGTTTTTCTCATCATCTTCATGTATGCACTTTTCAAAAGTTTACCCCAAAAACGCATTGCAAACCAAAGTGTGCACACGGGACTCAAGAAGTTCGTCAGAGAACCGTAGAGCACTCGTTGATCTCACAGCAGGAGCCTCATTAACTCACCGGAGACACTTGTAGCATTGCGTGAGCCGGTAAGAAGGAGACATTGGGCCGACAACTGCACCGCCCTTCTGTCAAAGGAGCAGAGGGGACCTTACTGTGCTGTGACTCACTCAATCTTTATAAATAGCCCGCGTGAGGTTTGAGGAGAGCTCCACAGGCAGCCCGGGCTGGATATTTTGGGAGAGGTTCCCTGAATATTCGTAGACACATTGTTTCATTTCATCAAGCGTTTCTTGATTACACTTTTTTCCTCACTTTATTTTTGTCAGTTACAGAGTAAAGTGGGGTGAAGGTAGTGGGCTGATCTCCTTAGACAAGTCATCTGAGGGATTTGGCATCTTTCAAAGCTCCACCAAGAAGCTTAGCAGAGCGTTGATCGCTCTGAATATAGATCTGAAACTAATGCTGTTTAATAGTCCACACATAAATGTATTCAAAAATGACTTATTAATGACAATTAAAAATAATTGTTAGTTGCAGCCCAACTGAAAGTTGACAGTGTAAATTCATAAAATCCCTCTGGACTTTTATTTTGCCTGCTGTGGGCTTTTCATGGTTATATAGATATTTAGTCACCTCATCTTTTTCCTTCTTTTCAGGGTCCTGAAGCACTCAGTCGACGCCACTTACGAGGACAAGGGCCCCAGCCCGGGCTTCCGCATGGAGACATCCATCTTCTACGTGGTCTACTTCGTGGTGTTCCCCTTCTTCTTCGTCAACATATTTGTGGCTTTGATCATCATCACCTTCCAGGAGCAGGGAGACAAGGCCATGTCGGAGTGCAGCCTGGAGAAAAATGAGGTGGGCGAGCTGCACTATGAAAACACCACGTCGACCTCTGTCCTCTAAACGCAACAGGAACAAACACAGATTATTTCTGTAGAGACGCTGATTTCTGAAAATGTTTCTCTCAAGCGTCACATTTTGCCGCGAACATTTTCTGCGTTTTAAATAATGGCACACGCTGATCCACCTCAAAACATCACTTCCAGGCAAATTTAATAAAACATGGCTTTCAATTCCCTCAAACAACACAGAGAGAAAACAGAAAGGTTTATTCACTCCACAAAGACTTGCAAATCCTGGCGCTTTTCCTCTCTTTATTGGCTAGTGATGAGAAAGGCTCAATTTGTAATCTTTTGATTAGACAAACCACTTAGGAAATCCTCTCGTGGCATGCTGACTGTCTTTTTTACTTTTGAAGGTGCTCCAGAGAGGATTTACACACAATGTGTTTTTGTTTTGTCTCTTCATCAAACAGAGGGCTTGTATTGACTTTGCCATCAACGCCAGGCCGCTGACGAGATACATGCCGGAGAACAAGCAGTCCTTCCAGTACCGGATGTGGAAGTTTGTGGTGTCGCCCCCATTTGAGTACGCCATCATGACTTTAATCGCCCTCAACACCGTGGTGCTGATGATGAAGGTCAGTGATTGCAAAGCGCCAATCCCGGCTCAGTGAGACTGTAGCATCCAATACGATGCAGGGCAGTGTTGAAGTATTCAAGGGGATTGCAGTCTCCATGAATCTGTACCATTAAATAATTTAGCTTGAAGGCAGAGCTGCAACAGCACAGGTCTGGCTAGGAGACATGAAAAATCAAACATCCCCACCATCACACCACGGCGATGCTTCTGCCTACAGTGCTCGCTGCTCTCAGAAGGAAGGGCTTCTGTCTTGGACTGGTTTTCTAAAATTATTTCAAATTGCATCAATTCTGAAAAGCTATTTGAGGGGGGGGGTAATTCAAAATATCAAATTATTTTTTTCCAAACTGTTGTTTTTCACATCAATATTTTTAAACAGAACGCGGATATGACGCAGCGCAAAAGGGACGTTGTGTTCTGAAACCTGGGATGTAACGTGCGTATGCAGCGCAGCCCTCCGGGACCGTAAAGCAACAATGAGCAGCTACTGACGCATGTCAGAGCCTCCACCACCTGCCATTTATCTCAATGACAAGACACAAAGCCTCTTGTTTGCTTTCTTTTTTACAGTTTTCAGCTTAATAAACACTTCTGATCAAGTGTCATTTAAATGGAGATTAAGGATGAAGCTTATTCACACTGTGGTTCTTCTCTCAAAATGATTCACTGTACGTTTTCTCTCCTCAGTTCTACGGAGCTCCAGACCTGTACGAGTCCATGCTGAAATACCTGAACATCGTCTTCACAGCCCTCTTCACACTGGAGTGCATCCTTAAGATTATTGCCTTCGGTCCACTGGTGAGACCGTATGCTGCGCTCTGCTCTGCAGACACTACACAATTATTCATTATTACATTGGTTCTGTTTACACACAAGGGGGAAATCTCTCTCAGGGAGACTCGTGCGTCTCTCTGTGCTCGCAGTGCTCAGTTAATTGCATGTTGTCTTTCTGAATGCTGAAGCGAGGATTATTAGATCTGTGATCTCATGGAAGTTCTAATGAAGGAACTGGCCAAATAAGATGTTTGGGTGATGATCTGTGTAAAAGCACATGAAAGGTGTGGTACGAGAAAACCCAAATAAAAGGTGTCAAATCTCAAATTCACGAGTGAGGAGTGGGAACTAGTAAAGAAGGGAAGGCATGCATGGAAGAGTGCGCGAGGACTCCCCCCCCCCCCCCCCCCCCCCACCGACATGGGGCTGTCTGGCTCGCAGCGAGCCATTTCATCTCTGACTCTGTTTCCTTTACGTGGCCCATTTGTTAAATAGCTTTTCTCACACACCACTTGCCTCCACCTGTTTAGCTGTTAAGCCCAGACGGATGAGCTCGCATTTGCCGGTGTAAACACCCGGCTGCCTCCCCCTCCGGTAGCCGGATGAACGACCGGTCTGAGGGGAACCAGGCCACGAGCAGCCGCTCAGCAGTCAGCTCGTGCCGGGGATTGTTTGTTGTATATGCACAAATTGATTTGTGTGCCATGGGGGATTCCGAGAGATCTGTAGTGTTTCTGGGTAGTTTCTTTGTTTTTAAAATGTTTCTCTTTCATCTTTGATAATCTGGTGTACACCACAGGGCCCTTTAACCTATCCACATTTCTGTAAATTCAACTGAATACAGAGACTGTAAATGTGCATCTGGCCTCAGGACCGACCTTTTTGATGTACTCTGGTTGAGTATCAAGTCATTACCAAACTGTAAAATAAGGCGATCTCTGATTTTAAGTGTGAATGGCATCAAATAATGTAATGATTATCCATTATCAGCATACAGGAATTAAGTAAAGCTGAGCTTATAAACTACCATAAGGGGCAGTGAGGGGGTTTGCCTACGAGATGGCCCACAGTGTCAGACTTATTGTCTATATTATGAAAATAACGATCAATGTTTTTGCACAAACAAGCTGTTTGAATGTGTTGACTAATCTCTCCCCCCTTCTGTTGCTTAGAATTACCTGAAAGCAGCCTGGAATGTGTTTGACTTTGTGACTGTGCTCGGAAGCATCACAGACATCTTGGTCACGGAGATTAAGGTGAGCGCCTCCTGTGTGTGCCGTTTTAATAATCATTTGACACGTTAGGCCAAACGCTTTGCTTTCTGCTCTCTCTCTTGATGGAAACAGATTTAGTCTAGTCAGGAGTCAGAATGTTGTTCATATGCAATTGTTTAGTCTTGCAGGAAATGTCGTTTAGGGTTTGCGAAGAACTGTTATTTTTAACTGTCTGACCGCAAATATTTGGGCTTAATTTTTTATTTGGTCTAGAATAGAAGAGTGGCCATGACAAATTGTCTGAGCCCAAGCAGACTGCTCTCTTCTGCCGCCCCCGGTTCAGTCCACTATGTCCACTCTGTCCTATCTGTGTCTCACTGGCCACCAGAGCTCCAGCCTGCAGCTACGTAAAGGAATGAGCTATAATTAGCTACAGGTTACCGCTGTGCTATTTTCCCCAGGTACTGTTCCCCCCGAAGCACTCCCACAGATCCTCCCCCCCTCCCCTGCACCACAGGCCGTCCCCGCCACCACCAATCTGAACAAACCACTGGAGCTCCAAATTCATTAAACTTAGAAGGCATGCATTGCAATGCTCCCACAGACTTCAAGTCCTCGGATTGTAACCTCAGCCAAGAAAACGGCCCCTGAAAAATAAGAGCAGCAAAATCGACGATGGAAATGGAAATCTGTGCATTAAAGAAGCACAGGGGGGGCAACAGAGGAACGACGCTGTTGTTTCAGCTTGCAACATTTTGTTGCCTCTGTTGAATCGCAGCCGATGGGAAAGAAATGAGACTGAGGGCCGACGCAGGGTTCTGCTGCTTTCTGTGTTGCAAAGTCAGTCTCTGCTTTGTGCGACTTTCTTTTCATGTGATCATTATTCCTCTTCTCTACCTCCTCTCTTTTGCTTTCCTTTGTGTTTTTGATTATTCTTTCTCTTTCGCTGTTCCCATCGTCTGCGCTGTCTCTCCTGGCGCCTGTGCCCTCACTCTGCTCCCTCTGTCACATCTGACACCTCTAGACGGTAAGTGGCTTTTCTTGTTGGCCGCTGATATTGTCTATTCCCCCGTCAGTGTGTGTTGTTCTCTCCCACAGTCTTACTTTAAATTGCCTGCTTACTGAACCCTTGGTGTGACGTGATGTAACAGAAAAACACCCATTAAGTTGTTAGAATTGTGTTGTGCTTTAACAGCAACACAATTTCCATTGCATGAGACCTGACACCTCTACAGAAAATCACCGTATGAGTCATTTTAATACGCCGGCAATGTTTCTGTGGTTTGCATCGAAATCCTGCAAGAAGACGGGCAGTTGTTGTTGTTTCTGTCAAATCATTGAAAGCCGCTGGTTTGTATTGCAAATAGATTCCATTGGCATGATTTTGTGGTTGTCAAACCTTATATTAGATGCTATTAAATTTCAACCTGGTTCAGGCTGGCATGTTTTGCATCGCAAGAATTCAACCTTTAACTTGAATTAAACATCTAGGGAGAGGGAATGAAAAGCCCTGATTGGGAACGAGCCCTTGTTGTCAGCGCTGTTTGGATCCTCAGGGAACTGATGAGAGTCGGATGTAAAGATCTGAGTGTGTCTTTTTTACCACCGTGTTAATTTGCATAATCTCTGAATTTGTGATGAGAAAATATTATGAGCTATATTTAAAGGACCAGTGTTTAGGATTTAGAGGATTTACTGTCTGAGACGGAATGTGAAGTCCATAACTATCCTCTATGTTGCACCACCGTCAGACGGGACAAACCAAACACTGGCTCCACAAAGAGGCCTTTACGACAAGCAACAGACTGCTCCGTTAAAGGTAGCCGTGTCCCTTCAGCGGCCACTGTAGCAACAACGGTACAGTGGTCATCAGCCATTAATCCCTCCACAGCAACACTTGGTCACACCAGACCAAATAGAGCTGTACCAGGAAAGCTCTTGAGCAAGGGTGTGTTTCATTTCTTAGAAGTTTGTCTGTAAAAAGAAGTCGTGCAGAGTAACGTTTAAATCCTTCGATCCTTCACTCATTGTGGAACCTCACACAGTCTCTGATTATTCTCTCACAGGACAAGATGATCAACCTGAGCTTCCTGCGACTGTTCAGAGCGGCTCGTCTCATCAAGCTGCTGCGGCAGGGCTACACCATCCGCATCCTGCTGTGGACCTTCGTGCAGTCCTTCAAGGTGAGCCACAGACACATTATGGAAGTAGACTGGAATTATGTTGCGCTTTTCCAAACGAAAAAGATGCGCATCCAGGGATGACAGGAATTCTGTCAGGAAAAGACACGAGTGGATTGTTTGAATAGAGATTTTGGGGTCGGGTTGGTCAATTAGATGATTCATCGATGAGTATAGAGTAAGAATATCTTCTTACACACAAAATATCGGGAGTGAAAGAAAGCTCACAGCAGAAAGCGGTTCAGATTTGCAGCCGTTGCCGGTTTGCTCTCTAAATCCCTTGGGACAGGTTGAGTTAAATGCGGAGCACTGGGCCGCAGCCGTGGGAATTCACAGCAGGTTTAATGTCAGTGGTGAGAGCTTTTAAGCCCGATGAAAATGGACAGTAGCTGCAGAGTGTTAGAAGGTGGCTATTTAATTACAACAAATGTTCCTCTCCTCTTCACTGCGATGTAAATAGCCGGTTAAAAGAAGCGACCCCTTAGCTCAGGTTGACTGCTCGGCTTTTAAAATAAGACTGTGAAATCTTACAAGGGTGCTCGTCCCCTGTGGTGAATCACATTTATGAGTGTGTGTGTGTGTGTGTGTGTGTGTGTGTGTGTGCGCGCGCGCGCAGAGACTGACGGGGGGGTCAAAGTTTGTGTGAGGAGGAGAAAGAGGTTGTAGGTTGTGTCTGTTTGTGCTTTGAAGTATTTAGGCTGTTATTTGCGTTGCTTTCAGGCCCTGCCGTATGTCTGCCTGCTCATTGCCATGCTGTTCTTCATCTACGCCATCATCGGAATGCAGGTGAGTCGTGACAGTGCCAGCTGGAGAAAAGGAAGTCAGACTGTAATGATTCAGTGGTGGATGCCTCCTGGATAGTCGCTACACAACCACGAGAGCCTCCACAGGTGTTTTTTCTATTCTAAATCTAATATTTTCTTATTATAAGAATAAGTACATCCGTTGGCCAGAATATGACAGATTGTTAATTGCTTAGCGTTAATATTTTAAGCCCTGGGAAATGGCTAGCCTCGCTCTGTCCAATTGACACATTGAGCTATAAAGACAAAGGAGGTTGGGCTGAATGGGGTCAGTACAAAAAGTACCGGACGTTCACTGTGCGCAGTGTACCAGAAGTCATAACTTTGCATTTTAAACTTAATTTGCATGGAACCATAACACATACATCAGATATTAGGCCAAGTGACGTGCGTTACAAACTCCTTTTAACCCCAAAAAACATTTTCTAAACTCAAGAAACCTTAGTTTCTTTTAGGTTTTTGGACTTTTACCGTTGCAACACATCAAATAGAACGATCATAAATGTGGGAGTTATTGGCAGATTACCAATTATGTTGTTTCAGAACAAGGACTTATTGTTCAGGTATAATATGAGTCCATCTCTCCTCTCAAGACAAATGCAGGAGGACTACACATCTCTAAAATACTGATCAACACAACAAGTATTACTTACTTGTTATTCCTCTTGCCGAGATTATTATCATATTGTGCGCGCGTGTGTGTGTTGATGTCAGCTGCTGTTGACGTGCAGGGTCAAGATGCTGCATCCGTCCGGCTGCTGTTCTCTAGGGCTTGGCAGCCAGCGTTTACGGGCCAGCAGGAAGGACATGCCGAGGGGCAAATACATATTTAAAAAGACACCTCCGGGTTGTTTACTACAGCACATTTATTGGGAAATCTGTGGAAGATGTGGCTGTTTTCCACTCTCAGTCTCTCTGCACTACAAATCAGTGAGGGTTTACTGACATGATAACAAAGAATAGACAAGAATAAGTGACAATAAAGATGAATGAAAAACATCTTGTGAAACCACCGACTATGGATATAAACAAATATAGTCAGAAATAGGGTTGTTTCCTTGTAAAACAAGGGGTGAGGGTGTCCCTTCCACTCAAACTGTCTTTATCGTCACACTGTTTAAATTGCTGGACTGCTGGGTTCAGCGCTCAGGGAGGATAAGTGTCATGGGCGTTGCTTGGCTCTGTCTCTGTGCAACAGTCCATTACAACGGTGGAGTAGAGCAATCATTTCGGGTTTCACATTCAATCAGCACCGTGTTCTCTCCCGCCGCCTCAGGTGTTTGGAAACATCGACCTGAATGAGGAGACGGCAATAAATCTCCACAACAACTTCCAGACGTTTTTCCAAGCCTTGACTCTTCTCTTCAGGTAATCCCTACTCCGCTTTCTTGGAAACGTCGGTTCAACCAATAATCCAGGGGGGGGGGGGGGGGGGGGGGAACTGATCACTCACGTCCGTGTGTTTGTTTCAGGAGTGCGACAGGCGAGGCGTGGCATGAGATCATGTTAGCGTGTCTCAGCAACCGGCCGTGTGATGTTCACTCGGGAACCGTGGGGAAGGAGTGCGGGAGTGACTTTGCTTACTTCTACTTTGTCTCGTTCATCTTCCTCTGCTCCTTCCTGGTCAGTGTGAAGGAAAACAGGAGGCCATACTGGGGGTTGTCATTGAGGGAAAGATCCACTGCTAGTTGGAAGTTTGTAAAACTTCGATCCAATAACTTCAAGTAACAATTATATTGCAAATGGTCATTTTGGGCTAAATACTGTACATCACCGAGATGATCCTTTAATTAGATCATTGTCATTGTTAAAATTGCAATTGTTATTTTGGGAAGAGGAAAAGGACTTTATTTGGGACTTGCCTGTATTTACCATTCATTTATTTGACACATTATCTAGATGTTGAACCTCTTCGTCGCCGTCATTATGGACAACTTTGAGTATCTGACGAGAGACGCCTCCATCCTGGGACCGCATCACCTTGACGAATTCATCCGTGTGTGGGCCGAGTACGACCCTGCAGCCTGGTAAGTGCTTCAGCTGACCTCTGACCCGCACAGCCACCCCGCCGATGTCAGCTAGTGTCTGCGTCATAGAGGAGGGCTGTGTAGTGGGGAACCATAAGCCAATAGTTCCACCAGGAGGACACGTCACGGAGAAATCCTGCTTTAGCGGCGGCGGGTGAGCGACATTAATGTGGCCGAGGCCGGCGACAAAACCCCCCTCGGCCGGAGTGATGCATGTAAATCCAGCGTTCCGCTCGGCGTCCGCTCAGCCCTCTTTGCCGTTAAGCCGCCAGGATTCGACTCTCCGTCAATCACTGCGGTATTTCTATCCCTCCAACGGCGAGAATACGGGTAGATGTCAGCGCCCTCTCTGCCCCTCACACGGACGCCATTTACCGTGACTGAAGCACAATACCAGAGGCAGGTGCGGGGAAATCCGTCTCAGGTTATGTAAGGCTGGTTTAGTTTTAACCGAGGCGAGTCAGGACTCCAGGAGAGGTGTGACATGTGAAATATAAAATTACAATCTCCTGACAGACATTACGGGGGAGGAATTATTATGTATTCCTTCAAAAATAAATGAGCTGCACTGAGAGATTTGTCTGCAGTAGATGATCTTCAACTGCTTTAACTCGTTTTTATGTCACGTTTAAGCAGCGAGTTTATTAAGGGCTCGTCTTGTATTTTTCATACTTGTTTTAAATATCTCTGTAAAAGGGGCAAACTGTTTTGACAATTTGCTGTCCCTTGCAGATCACTACATTGTTGTTTTCTGCTGCATGAAGAAATAGTAGAAAGTAAACACACGCTCATTGTTCATATCCCTTTTACATGCTATTCCTCACTCAAAAACAAAATATTTCTAGTTCTTTTGTGATGATTAAATGAATGTCATGAAAAGTAAAATAACGTTTCTTTCACTTTCATATGTAGAAAACAGTCAAACGTCAAAATAGACACCAATAACATTTTAGTCAGAAACTAACAACTGTTGTTAATGCCCCTGCTTCTGCAGTTATTCCCCATGTGTTAATAACCGCTAACAAAAGTTATCCCTGTATTGCACCTGTGATCTAAACATGTCTTATCTTTTGCAGCGGGAGGATTTGCTATCAGGATATGTACAAATTGTTGCGTTTTATCTCGCCTCCCTTGGGCCTGGGCAAGAAGTGCCCCAACAGGGTGGCGTATAAGGTTGGCACTCCCATACAGTCCTTTTATTTTCTTCAAATGGACTGTGGTGTTTTCGGACTGTGATCGTCTGTTCTCATTCCCCCCGGTGGCCCAGAATGACCCGACCACACACACATACAAATTCTCCACTAACCAGCTGGCAGGTAACGAAGGCAAGCGCAGGAAACAATGCCGCGAGTCAGGCTCAAGCGAAAAGGCATCAAATGCCACGTCTAAGGTGTTTCCCTGCTTCTAAACACGGGTTGTGATAGAAGCGCGGGAAGTTAAGAGAGCATTGTGTGCTTTGTTTCCACTTACCGCTGGATACTGCTAGCGTCTCCTAGCATGCAGAAACAGAGGGCATCTTAAAAAGGAATACCACTGAAATCATGAGACCCTGAGATGGTGACCTTGAAAAGTAGCTCTGAAAGGTTTGTAGCGGCTCTTTCGAAACGGCGATCATGGTCAGACTGATAATGGAAGTCCGAAAATCGAAACTCCTGCAGCATATTCCACCTCTCCATCCGTATGTTCAGTATCCCCATGTGTCTTTTGAACTGCTGGTCTCAACTGATGTCCCATCGTGCAACATCAGCTGGTCCCGAGGATTGGGGGAAAAAACAGAATGTCAGCTGTTGAAATAGCTGTGCATCTCTGCTGCAACGTGTTTGTACTTTTGTAATCTGATGGAAAGGTTTTTGGAATAGTTACAACACGTTTGCCATTGGAGTTCTTTGTACAAACTTCTCAGAGCTTTCAGAGGGGAATGTTTGATACTAAAAAGATTTTCAGTTTTTATCATGAAATGCACTCTTGTTCCCAAATGCCTATTTTCACCATGCATCCAGCATCTCTGCACAGAGGTACTTCTGGATCATCCTCCCTTCCTTCCTTCCTCCTCCTCCTCCTGGAATCCATTCCTGAATCCTTTGATCCAACCTGGATGGCATTCCGAATCATGATATCCTGGAAATCTAAATAACAAGGATTTCTGTGTTTTCCTCTTCCCCTCCCCTCCCATTGTCTCTTTTGGATTTTTTTTTTCCATGTGGCCCTTTTAAACCCAACACTCCATCTCCCGGGGACTCTTCATTCCTCCCCACATGGCCTTCTACCATCTTTCCCCCGGGAAGCGGCCGCATGACTCACCGCGACATGTACGAGATGCTTCGTGACATGTCCCCCCCGCTAGGTTTGGGGAAGAAATGTCCTCCTCGAGTCGCCTATAAGGTAGAAGCACAACCCCCCCCCCTCTCCTCCGCCCCCTCCCTCTTGCAGTCACTGCTGGTTTCCCTGCTTCCACCTGTCAAACATCTTCAGGTCTCTGTCAGTGTGTCGCGGTCGGTATCTTCTGGCCTGCTGTCGTGTTGCTCTTTCTATTCATCTGTGAAGCTCTGTGTGTGTGTGTGTGTGGGGGGGGGGGGGGGCACTGCAAGGATTTGTTTATACATTCCATCTACCAAAGGGCAAACACGTAATATTTAGCCTTTTGAGTTAGCCGCTTTTAGCTCGCGAGCTATTAAATGTTCTGGACTCCAGCTGGCCAGCATCAAGGGACGGACAGACAAAGGTGGCGACTATCTGGAGGGGAGAGTGGGACATGTGGCAGCTAAAGAGCAAGATATTTTAATTCAGGTGTTTGTAGCGACTGAGCCACATTTATTATGTCAGAAGTGGACCTTACTCTGCTTGCACGCTAATCTCAAGTGGAATCCTTTTGTTATCAAGCACCAGGTTGCATCTCAAATAGTTTTTTGTGACCTCGTGGATGTCTACAGTGTGGCCAAAAGTTCCCTCCGACTGTGCCAGGCTGCTGTGTGCTCATACAGGCGATTTCTGCCTGACATGAGAAAAATAAGTTGCTGTATCTTTCAAGACTCATCCCGCTGGATATCTGGCATTTTGTTTTGTACAGACAATTAAAAAAAATTCTACTGAAGTTGTTTGAGTGGCTAACAGGGCTCACAGAGGCCGAGTTAAAATGAGCGTGAATGTTGACGTAGATGTATAAAGTCAGATAGCACTCCAATAGGCAAAAATGCATTATAACAGACTGACCAGTTTCAGTGAAACAGATGGATTTGGCAAAGGAACAAAATATTTAGTTTGGTATCTCACCTGGATTCAGATGATTATCAGGAATTATTGAGGGATTTCTGTGAGATATTTTCAGAATTCCAGAAAACATTTCAGCATCTTCGCATCAGGTGCCGTGCTGACTTAAATGAAGGCACCGCCAAAGATGATATGTATTTATACTCATGAAGTCCACAATCCTCAGGTAGTCCCTGTGCCAGCTGCTCACCGCAGACGGGAACGGTTTGAGTGCACAGCTGTCTAAATGAATCACTGTTAAAACAGCCCTGACCTTCCCCCGGTTCATAATGTCTGGGTCTGACGTGGTCACGCATCCAAAATAAACTCCTGTTTTTGTGAATCGGCAGAGATCAACTAACACACACACACACAGATTCCCTCCCTCCCACTACTGTGTTGATGGTGCTCCCTCCCTAATGAGCCTATCTCCCCCTGGTAGTCCTGGTTGTCCCTGTTACCCTCCCCGTTAGTCTCATTTTCTGTCTTCAGGCTGAGCCTAACCCTCTGTTATGAATGATCTCTCTCTCACACCCTCTAGGGATCTGTTCACTCTCTTCTGCTTCATCCTATCTTTGTGTGTGTGTGTGTGTGTGTGTGTGTGTGTGTGTATGTGCGCATCTATGTATGCGAGGACAAGCATGCATCCTCTATTCTGTAGGTGCTTTCTTTATTTGTCTGATGCTCATAGTCTGCAGCTGCCATTCTTCCACTCTCTGTTTCTGGAAAAAAGATGCAAGACTTACGTTGAAGCTTTCCAGTTAAGCCTCCCACACCCCCCCTCCCCTCTTCCTGTCATCTCTCCCTTCCTTCATCTGCATTGTTGCGCTCAGTACAGTGCATATACTTTTTTCTTGAAAGCTTGAGGGGAAACATTTTTTTCTTTTTTCACATATGTGTCTGATGGCTTTTGCTTTTCGCCTTTCAGATTCTAATTTGAGCACATGTCTCAACTCCGCCCCCCCATCCCCCTCCACCCTCAACCTCACTGTCAGTGTGCTGTACTAAGTCAAGCATGCAAATGCACACAGATCAATTAATTGCAGCAATGCATGATGTCGATTGATGCTGATTGGTTTATTTTTATGATGAAATAATATTAAACGAGTAACAACTGAGCCTCTGTGCTGCCAGAATCCGCTGCTAATAATTACTCGGTTGTATCGACACACCCTGCACGGGAGGGCTGCCAGTTAATGCTTTCATCAACCAGTTCATCATTTAGTCTATACTATGCCAGAAGTGGTTATTGTCGGTGTATAATCTGCAGTAGATGGCGCTCAGCACGCCCTCAGTTTGCAGAAGCAGACAGAAGCAGCAGCCCGGGAGCAGAGCAATAACACCGGAGCGTCTGCTTCGTGCCTTTGTGTGACTTTGCGTGTTTGAAATGGGAGTCACACAGAGAAGCAAACGGTAGACCAGCAGCTCCCGCTACCTCTGCATGGTAAAATTACCTTTACTTTTCAAAGCCAGTCAGCTGGCTTTAAGGGAGCGTAGAAAACTGCTTCAGGTCCCCCTAGGAAGGGCTCTCTGACAGCCAGCTGAAGCAGTAAAAGTATTCCAAATATAGTGCACATTTAAACGGATATGATGTTTTTTACAGGTGGTTTAAAGTCTTTATGCTAGTGCTGCCAGCCACAGCCGTACATTGCTTTGCTCCCTTGCTGGTACTCCGGACTGACGGCGTTGCGACTGCCGTTTACTGTAGATAATAACGTGACTGTGAGCAAAATTCCAAACCTCCCCTTTAAGCCGACCTCTTTGGAATCGCTTGTTTTGTCCAACAAACAGTTCAAAACCAATATGCGGCTTCAGCAGTCAGAGTTAAACAGTTATATCCTGCAGGTTTACGAATAAACCTGTACATAACTGCCATGTGAAAAATGCCCACGTTATTAGATTTATTATTCATTATTTTTCCGAACAAAGACGGGCGGCTGCACGTTTCCAGCAGCAGAGGAAGCGCTGCTTGTTCTCTGACATGTTAATCATGTTTCAGCCTTAAGTAGAAGCATGCTACTCTTCCAGTGGAACAATCTCATAAAATGTCATGGCAACAGCAGCAGCCCCTAAGCGCTTCATGCATTCATCTGGCGCTGTAAGGTTAAAGAAAAGAGTGAAGGGAAACAATTCATTGACTAATAGTTTGAGGGAGAATTAATTAACCCTATTAAAACGTAACAAGTCATTTAACAAACAAGAATGCCGAGCCTTTGCTGTTAGTAATGTGAGGATCATTTGGGTTATGGACTTTTGATGAGACAAAACAAGACACAAATTGTACTGTGGGGATTTTGAAAAGGGCTTCTTTCACTAACGATCAAGATGGCAATCAGAAAAACAACCCACTTAAATTGATCCTTATTTGCAGCCCTGACATGTAACTGGATGTTATCTGACAGTTTTTAAATTACTGCTTAAGTTCCTGTATGCTGAGTGTGATTATTTTTCATTTGAAATCATCCATTTGTGCTTCTGTACAAAGTACCAAATGTTCCTTTAATTTTCTGATTGCGTTTTCCTGATTCCCTCCAGCGACTGGTGAGGATGAACATGCCCATTGCGGAAGACAGGACGGTGCATTTTACCTCCACGCTGATGGCCTTGATCCGCACCGCCCTGGACATCAAACTGGCATCTGGTGAGCGACTGAAACAACAAAATCCACGCGGCGCTTTTGACGTAGATGTAGACCTCCGTGGTGCAGATCTGACATGACATGTCCGTGGGCCCGTCCTCAGGCGTCCTGGCGCAGCATCTGTGCGACGCTGACCTGAAGAGGGAGATCCACCGAGTCTGGCCCAGCCTGTCGCAGAAGACTGTCGACCTGCTGGTGACGCCGCCTAAATGTGAGCCCAAGTTGGGTTTTGGGTTCTAGTGGAACCCAAATGCTTGCTTGTTCCCTCTTCCTCTTTGTTTTAGACTTTCATCTTTAAATTGTTTTTCTTTCTTTCTTCTTTATACGGTTGTATGTGAGTGAGTCTTTTGATTTCCTCTTATGCAACACTTTATGAATTCATGAAGCGTCTTGATCCAAGATCCACTAATTCTTCACATTAATTCATCCATCTGTCTTATTGTGTCTTCTTTAAATAATCTGATTTGTGTTGGAAACTAAAATTAGAATGTAGATGTACAAATGATGCTCGTTTACAGTTCGGTCCTCTGTGTCAGTTGTATTTTGTTGCTTGTCCGCCGCCACCTACTGGCCACATGAACAACTGTCTCTCCCTCTGTCTCTGTCCTCTCTAGACAATGAGCTGACTGTGGGGAAAGTCTATGCAGCTCTAATGATCTTTGACCACTACAAGCAGACTTGTGCCAAGCGACTCCAGCAGCAGCATTCGGGGGGACAACAGGTAGAATGTGTTGTGAAAAGACTCATGTAATAGTGACTAGTATTATCAAATATTTAGATAATAAGTCTGTTTCCTTTTGTTTATCATGATTTTCTAGTCCTGACTAAACAAGGCTATGAAGGGAAAATTATTAAAATCGATATCAACACTAAGCTTGATGACGAACTTGTCGGACCTCCTACTGACCGTATTCTATCGATGTGTTTTTCAGAGTAAACTGGGGTCGTTGTTCCGTCCGATGCTGCCCCTCACTCACATACAGGAAGTCGAGCCACCAATCTGCAGCCCCAAACTGCCCCTCTCACCTCAGCCTGAGCCCGAAGCCAAGCCTGAATTACTGCCCACTACCAGCCTCACCTCGGTCAACAGGGATTCACTGTGAGCGAATGTCGTCCATGTCACATACACAACCGCAATGGATTGAGCTGTTGTTTAATTTATATTGTGCACACGACAAAAATGCCTCATTAATGAAACCGCTTGTTTTGTTGGAATTGTGTTTTTACCTGATCTTCTTGTATGTGGACTGTCCTTTCCGGCACATAGAAAAATCAGAGTATTCGTAGGAGTTGTGTACAACTGGCTTACTGTTTCTTTGATGCAATTTAACTTTGAAAACCAAATTGAAGTATCTACACCGTCCTATTGATTCTGCAGTTGTATTTATACACATATATATATACACATATGTTCTATGATTCTATATGCAATCATAAACTAAGTGTCTGTATAACACGACCATGTCGCAATGATCATCTGAAGTGATGTGTCCCCCATCCTTGGCCTTTCTGTGGCGTGACGTATTTTAATTTGGTACCGCTGCTTAATGTCTCTTAATTCCCCGTGTGGACCTCTCAAAGCAAGACTTAGACATAGAGACCATGGAGCAGGACGCACTGCCATGGTATAAACAGGGAGTTCATTTTGCCAATTTACAGTTCACGTCCAGCCATAATTCATCATATTTACGCTGTACATTTACACAGTTAAGTGATGTTCAGCGCATTTACTCGAGAAGGAGACGTGTTTACCTCATCTTATCGCACTGATCAGCTGTCAACACTACAACCCGAGCTCTTGTTTGTGTGTTTACAAACAGGCTAAACCAGAGAAGTGCCATCAAACATTCCCAGTCTGGTGACGTCTCTCAGGCTGCACAACAGAGGCCCAAAGCCCGGAGGAAACTACAGAGAGGCCAGTCAGAGGACGTGCCGTATTCCACCAAACCTCAGGTGCACCCACAGCTCCTCCGACTGAATGTTGAATGATGAATCACTTTCTAACCGGCCGTGTCGGTCGTGTTGCCTCTTAAAATACATGCATACTACTTCCTCTGTTTCCGGGCAGGAGTTTGTTGAATTGAAGCAGGTGGAGAACCTATCAGACTCAGAGGAATATCCGAGCCTGGAAGGCCACAGCAGAGCGGCTTCTCTGCCCCGACTCAACGCCGAGTACTACGTAAGCTCCTCAGGGCTTCTGGTCTTATTGCTCACAGAAAAAGATCTCATTGCATCCGTCACAGTTGTGTGTCGTTTGAGCCGCGTTGATGTGATGATGTAAGGCTTGGAAGTTGCGTTGCACGCTGGATGCCTTAGATTTGCTTTGAAGAAATGATCAAACGACGTGCTATACAATATCAAACAGGAAATAGAAGATGGTCAAATGTGTTTTTTTTGGCAATGAACAGGTGGCAGAGAAAGTCTGGTGCTCAGTGCAAACAGACGAACAGAAGCACTGTCTGTTCACCTCTACTTCATCCTGCCGACCCCTGCTTGAACTCTGCACGTTACCAATCACTATTGAGCAGGAAATTGAGGATAGGTGGACTTAGAAAAGTGCACAACTTGGTTGGTAGTTGAGTTGTTGGTTTATACAATACTACACTTATTAAATTACTGCCAAATAGAGAAAAGTAGAGTAACTTATTTTAGCCAGTGACGTAATCTGTGACCATGAAAAAACCTGCTGGCCACTAAACTAACAGCATCCAAATATCTAATACGGCCTTTTTTTGCAAATAGATTCAAATGGCACACCTGTAATCAGGCATTGACATAAGTGGTGTATGATGAAGTGGGCGGAGGCCAAGATTTAATCTAGAGATTCTGTATTCACCTGCTGCAGTAAGTATTAACCTTCAACACACTCACCGGATCATGTAAAAATAAATGACAGAAAGAATGCTACATAATAAATGTTGTCATTGATCTTCAACATCTCAAACGATATATTGATGTAACGTCTTAGTTTTGCCCGACTGCAGTGATCCGTTTATTTTTTAGGAATTTCCCTCATTTCCATCTACTTTTTTGTACTTGTCTTACTGTCATGCTGTTAGTTACAGTAGCTGCTGCATATGGATGTCATGTCAGGGAGATTTCTGTGTCCATCACTCAACTGTTTCCTGGATTGTCTCAGCTGTCTGATGTTGTCTGTTTAGTTTCCCTGTTTGTCCGTCTCTGTGTTCTTGTCTCCCGTTCTCTCCCTCTGTCACCCCGCTCTCTACCACAACACAAAACACGTGCTTTCCTTGTGTTTATGTTGCATTTGGATCTCTTTCTCTTTAACGTAGAAGGCTGGGGTTATCTTATATTATTTTGTTAATGTCAATAAATCCATTGAAAAGATCAAACCCCAGGATGCGGTAGTCCGACGTGCACTTGCCTACATTCTGTTGTTATGCTTTTAGACGGACAAAATATATAGATTTCTTTCTCGAAAATGCTTAGTATTCAATAAAACAGCTGGGCACTGTAGATTTTATCTAATGTTACTAATAGCAGAAAATAGTGCTTCAACTATGATTTAATGAACACGTTTGTTGCTATCGTGATTATTTACACTAGCAAGATGGTGTTCACGTGATAAAGGACAACAACAATAGAGCTCTGGCATTGAGGAAGTATTTATATCAGGCTTCGATATACACACACACACACACACACACACACACACCAGGTGTCAGTAGGATTGCCGTTGTGGTTTTGTCCTTTCATCCGGTTTATGGATAATAAGATAATAGAGAATATCCCAGCCTAAATCTCCCTTCTCTAATCTCCTATCTTTCCCTTGACCTAATTTTGATGCCCCTGTGCTAATGTTTTGCCCACCTCCCTCTTGTGTGTGCTGTCTGATAGCGGAGCCACCCTCGCCACGTCCCTGGGACCCACCTGGCAGTATGTACCACCTGTTCTGTGCCACCGCTCCTTTTCCTTCTCCTCCAGCTCCCCTCTTCCTCTTCCTCTCATGTCTGTGTTTGTGCTCCTCTCATCTCAGTGCAGAGTTCACACCGTCCTGTCATCATGGACAAAGTGACCCTCCCACATATACAGTAAACTCTGGTCATTCCATGAAGCTGCTGATAGATACACGCAACATGCAACACACACATTGACACAGTCCGCCCACATTACTCAAATCAGTGGGAAAGTATTTGTATGTGAATCCCAGGTATGTCCTGAGCTCTCTGCAGCACAGCACCACACTTTGGACACATGTGTACTGTATTTGAGTTATTGTTATGTAGTAGTGCGTAGTTTATATTTGTATTTATTTTGTTGTTAGTGGGTTTGTGGTTGTGGATCAAGGCAGGGACAGTACTGCTGCTTTCTTTATATATAACCAAACGGAAACCGTGTCCGACCTTTTCTGTCATTCGTTACTTTCTGTCTTAAAATCTTATTTTTAACACAAGAAAGGAAAACTAAACAGTATCTCCTGAATGTTTTATATACCCTCACTTCCAGACTCTTTTAGTAGTCTGAGGAACAGCGGGACTTCCTTTCTCTTTTTAATTGCATATTATGGCATTTATCTAAAAAGTAAGATTTTAAGGCGCTTACGAGGTAAATGATTTGTTAATATGGACATTTTCCTCAGTGCTGTGATATTGTTGTCCCTGACTTTAGCTGCAGGCGTATGCTGCCGGGTGTAGGAACAAGAGGAACAGCTCGACCGCCCTAGTTCACCAAAATCATTCAATTCTTCTGATCACGACAAAATATATTTTAGATCCAGAAGAATCATAGAAAATACAGATTTATTTGTCAGCATATCTTGAAAATGTTTTACTAAACTCATCAGATATCATCTGGGCATTAACCAGCAGGTGGGGTGGTAACGTAGCTGCTCGTCCTGTTCCCCATCACATGAGTCTGTGACCTGGTCGCTGTACCTGTCAGTAAGATAAGAACGAGGTGGGGTGACTGTCAATGTCCTCAAAGCATTATTTAAAGAATTACTAGAAGATTTTCTTTTCTTATAACCTTCTCCGGATACATACAGCCATTATAATCAATATGTTATGATAACAATGTACCATGGTGATTTAGCACTTCATTAGAGATATTTACTTACGGTTGGCCAAAAGCACAATTAACAATGACAGCGATAATGTTGCCTTGTAACTGCTGAATGTGGAAAGAATCTTTGTCTACCAGCTCGTTATACAGACTCGTAACAAGGTGACGATTCGTAACTTCTTTCTACATCCTCTAAGTGGCCAAAAAACAAAAAGGCAGATAATCAAAGTCTCATGAGAGAACATTAGCAAAAATAAAGGCAGCTCCCACGCGAAAGGCTCCAGTTCCATGGGAGGCAACACAAGCCATCTAAGCCATCCCCTCCCACGCGCTCTGAAAAAGACATCTGTTTTTACTGGCGCGTTCGTTAAAGTAAAGTAGAATGTGTTGATTAGCGAGTGTGGATGTTTACAAAGGAATCGCACTTTCCGAGGTTAGAAGTTGCACAAAAAAAAATGCCGCAGCGGCCAGTGTCAGCACCCCACCTCCTCTGTGTTCCCCAGCAGAGACACCTGCTCTCTTACTAGTCGTGTGAGTTCTGAGACAGTAAGTGCTCGAGCTGTGTCGCCGGCTTGTGTTCATTCTTCTCTGTCGTTTCTGACGCGCGTGCCTGAAGAAGAACGGGTTAGAACGCCGCTAGATTGCCGTCCACTGGTTGTGTCTTTGGTGTGTTGTGGGTATTTTGGTGATCCAGTACAAGTGGTTTGGCTAAAACCAGCACGCTCGCCCCTCTGCTCCACTTGTCCTCCTCACGCCTCTCCGCCTCTCTCTCTCTCCCTCGAAGCCGATCGTTGACCTCAGTCCCATCCGACGCTCGGCATCCTCGCTGACGCCGCAGCGCTACCAGGAGGTCGGCCTGTCGGAGTACGACCTGGAACGGCCCGGCTTGGCCCAGGCTGAGGGCCAGGACAGAGCCCACCACCATCACCACCACCACCGCTGCCACAGACGGAGGGACAAGGACAAAGACAAGAAGCAGACGTCCATGGACCGAGCTGAGTCAATGCAGCCGTCCAGCACCGTTGGTGAGACAGAGACTTAGATTTGATTGAATTGGTCCAATGAAAAGCTGTCAATCCGCTTCTGAAACATGAAGCCGATGCAGAAATGGTTTCAAATGGTTTTCTTTTTAAAAGCCAGCGAGGGGCCACTAAAATGTGTATTTGAAGTGGCCCGACTTCCTGTCGTTGTAAACATGCATTATGGCCCAAATCACCAGTTTCAAGTCTTCTTCAATTCAGCATGATTGTTTAGTACATCATGGTCCATTTAGAGTGAAGTAGAATCTAAGTCACAGGTCACTACCACGGCGTTGTTCGGTCTGAAACGTTTATTTCGTCACGACTTTAACCTTTTCACAGTGTTTTTTTTTCAATTTCTGAAAGTTTATTGTAACATTTTGCCCCGTTGAAGTAATTGAATTAGTCAATTAAGGTGCATGTTTCAGTTTAACACAGCAATATTTATTCACATATCACAGCCAGCAGAGTATCCACAGAGATGGGAAGCAGGGCTTCCCCCCGTCGATGTCTCAACGACGTAGCCGCAGAAATTCTTTATAGGATTATAGTTCCATGATCGGGTTATGTAGGTGAAGGGCTTTCTGCTGCGCCTCGACCAGGGATTTTACATGTCAGGCCTTCTGTCTGATTATCCCAAAGACTTGTGAGCTCTCAGAGGAAAATCTCCTTCGCAGGGGATTTTTTTTTGGCCCTTCCCATCAGTCGCTCCCTTTGTTCCCTCTGACTGTAAGTTACATTCAGAAAATGTACACCAAGCTTTACAGACTTCCCACTGCAGTTATTTAAACTCCTCACACACAGCACATAAAGTAAAAAGACATTGCACTGTATATCTCAATTATCTTTATTTTATTTCTATATGAAGAACATTCGTCTTGGCCAGGAATCCCTTGCAAACCAGATTTTGAATCGGTGAGCAGTTATTGGCTCTATGCCATCACTGAGCTCATGTTTCACACGCAAGCTGAACTTATTTGGAAGATTTGTAAAAATAAAATGAAATGAGGCACCCTATCAAAATTGATAGAGAAAGAGAGACGAGAAAGAGAAAGAGAAAAAGAAGCGTCATCGATAACAAAAGGATAAATCCATATAGAAAAAATAACCAGACAGACACAAGTTCATAATGTACAGAAGATGAAGCCAGACATGACAAGAGCATTTACAGCTTCAGAGACAATCACTCACATCAATACGTATGATTAAAGAGAAAAGGCTAGTTATTGTTTCCAGTATTTGAGAATAGTAAAGCATAAATAAATAATGCATGTATGGACTGTAGTTATTGTCCATGGTGAGGACACGTCTTCTTTCTCACACAATACAGTGATGAGCGTGACACATTTGATCCTGTCATGCAACACAAAGCACAATGACGACTTGTTTAAAGGCAGAGCAGCGTGAGAACAGAGGAGGATTCCTTCAGGCTGATGCAAGGTGACTGACTGATCCCTCCTCTGCCCTCAAGACACCAACATGGTTCATTCCACGATCGGAAGGTCATTTGTGTCTCTAGTTTCTCTGCCACTTGCTCCACATGCTGTTTGAAAGGGAGACTTTGGGCTGGTTCCCTTGACAACTTGATACTAGCGTTCTTTTCAGAGAGATAATCTTCAAAACTAAACCTGTGAATTTTAAGCAGAACTACATGTCTAAAGGTAGGCTGCGAAAAAGCTTTCATTTGTCCCCTTGTTGGCAACAAACATTTTATAAGACAAGAGCTTCGAAATTCTCAAGTCCTGCACGTATTTAATGCCAGAGAACTTAATAAATCCAGCTTACTTCTGGCATCCAACCAGGAACCCAGTGAATAGAAACACTGACTGAGAGGAAGGAGACGAAGTGCTGACTCATCTCCGGGTTGTGGGACACCCTATTATATTTCACAGTACGGCAGATGACGTCCATCCGGGGTCGTCTGCTAGAGCGATTAGGGCCTGAGAGCTGGTGCCAGGCTGTTTTTTTATGTGTTAACACTGGAGGGCAGCAGCTGGGCTTTACAGCTGAGATAAAAGGCCACGGTGGACGGGCCCAGCGCAGCGATTTATGAGTAGCTCTCGGTGAGATGGCAGAACATCCAGCAGCCCCACGGTACGTCTGCGGAATTGAGGGAAGCAGTTTCGCTCCTCAAAGCTTGTCATTGTGGAGGCAGATGTGACACATCAGAGTGATGGAAAGGTGATGGAGAGCCATTCGCCCACGCTGCTTTGCTTCATGGCCACAGACTCGTGATCTACAAAGAAACACGCAAAGCCATTTGCCTTTAATTAGAAGTGTAATGCAACATTGTGTGACGATAGCTCCGACTACAAAACACGCTACGTAGCGTAGAACTAACGAGTGATCACGATAATGCACGATGCCTTTCACCACGAGATCCTGAGCAGCGAACTCGTGCTTCACTTTCACCTCAGCAGTCGCTCTTCAGTCCTCCTCCTGCAGCACATGTTTTCACTCAAGTGTACATTTTGCAGTGGCGAGACTAGATCAACAACTCTTACGATTTGTTTGTATATTTCCATTGTCTGCGTTTCCTGTTGTAAATGCAGCCGAACTGTGACCCATTTACTTCCAGGCCAACCAACATGTTTGGAGTTAGTTTGTCCAAACAGGTTTGGATGCTTGCACAGGGGGGGGAGGGGGCCTGAGACGAATAGCTGAAAAATAACATGAACCATACCTGTTTCAAAGGGATTGTCTCAAAAACAACGAAACTACAAAAAATGATCTGAGTAGTTATTTCTTGAAGCCCCACGTTACTGTGACAGATTCTGATGTTCGTTAATGTCCTTTTTTTCCATAAATCTTGTTTGATTGAATGAAGCTAACAGTCTTCTTGTGTAGTTTTTACTGTGCAGTTCTTCTTCATTGGTTTTGATTGAACGCATGGCTGCAGTTATTTAAGTACGTACTTTGTTCATGAAATATGAAATCATGGAATATTTAATCACCAACTATGCTGACTGAATGTCCAATTAGACTCCACATTCACATATGACGAGATGAGGAAAGTTAAACCACACACTCTGTTTCCCACTCTCTTGTTTTTCGTTTGCCTGCGGCGTCCTCCAGACTCGTTCACCGACCCTTCGGCCGAAGGCCTGTCCAGAGAGCGGGCGAGGGAGCGGGACCGCGGCCGGCCTCACGAGCGGAGGCACCACTCCTCAGCGGGGGAGAAGCAGCGCTACTACTCCTGCGAGCGCTACGGCAGCAGGGAGCAGTGTCACACCAAGTCCGCGGGGCCCAGCCGCTCCACGTCTCCCGGCGAGGGACAGGACGCCGTTTTCGTCAAACAGGTCGGTCACTTGACCCCGCCGGAGCGCGTCGTGGGCCGTCAGCGCTTTGGGTGGTGAAATGTGTTTTTTTCGCCGCGGCACAATGTCTGTGAATTAACACGGCGCCTGTGAGGGTTGATGGCTGTATTTTGCTTTTAGGGCGGCTCACATCCACACTTGGCTCACAGCGGAGGAACTGTTGCCCTCCCAATTTTATGACAATGTGGGAGAAGAACAATTCTATATATTACCTAAGACGCTTTTATAGCCCAACAGCGGTAGGTTTTTGGCAGGCCTCGTAGGTTAAAGGATCACAATTTGTTTGTGTTTTATGGAACCGTATTGATAGTTCTTACTATATTTTTTGTTGCCTTGGTGCAATGCGGCGGCCACCCAATAATCTTTAAGCGTAAAGCGTTTATTTTTGTTCACAACTGAATGAAATCCAACCTAAAATGTAAAATGCAGTAAATTACATAAAAACTGCAGCCATTATAATTTGGAACTGTAAATAATAAAACCCTCTCTGGGTAAAAGCCTGTTTCACCTCTGTGAAACCCCAGTGATGATGCTTGTGGTTGCATGTGGTCATGTGTTCGGTTACTCCTATAACCACACCCAACCGTGATGTGACGGTGTGCTGAGTCACCCTGGAATACGCTTCTACATCACTGCAGCGAGGTCGATTTCCAGGGTTTTTTATGTTTGTTTACTTGCAGTCTTTGCTGTCCTGTGTGTTTCCTCAGCATGGCAGCAGCGTGGTCCTAGCCGGCCCTGGAACGCTCCCCTCTGGTTCCAGCACGCCGGGCCGCGGACGCAGGCAGCTTCCACAGACGCCCCTCACCCCCCGTCCCGCCGTGTCCTACAAGACCGCCAACTCCTCGCCGCTCCAGCCCGGTGCCGGTGCCGCCGCCGCGACGGGGCACCACACTCGCTGCAGCCGTGGCCTTTCAGAGCACGATCGCCTACACTGGGGCACCGACGAGTCCCCAATACCGGTCACCCGCATCGGTTCGGACCCTAATTTGAACCGTCAGTCGCAGGTGGCCTCTCAAGAGGCCCTCCTTGAAGAGGACTTCCAGGACACTGTGAGCAGCCACGGAAGGGGACGCTCCGCCAGAACCGCTGCCTCCACCACGGCATCAACTTCCCACGCAGCCGCCGCTTCGGCCGCCGCGCAGGGGAGAGCGGGCGCCGTCCCCAACGGGTTCCACTTCACCCTCGGGGTCAACTCTGCGTCCGGGCCTGGGGGCCGAGGAACAGGAAGTCTCAGGGAGAGGGAGGAGGAGGACTGGTGCTAACCGGGGACGGGCAGCGCGCTCGTGTCGGGTCCGACGAGCTGATGAGAACGGAAGCAAATGTATGGAGGAAAAAGCCACTGCAAGGGGTCGTAAAAGAGGATCAGAAATCATTCAAGCTTTGTAGTGTTACTCTACTTTTTATACAACAATCTTTCAAGAAAAGATTTACACTGATGACTTTCTGCCCCCTTTACTTGCACTGAAATCATAGCACCTGTGAAGACCCTTAAGTATTCCGCCTCGGCCAGTAAAACCAGTGATGGAGCAGAAGATAGAAGCCAAAACCTCCTCGTTCTTTGAGTGGAAATATGAAGTGTGTTTCAGACTGATCCGAATGCCTCTGTCCTGCGGTTAATACGGCTGCTCGCGACACTGTTCTTATTTTTGTATGATTCATTTTTTCTGTAGTTGCCGTGGGGGTGAGATAAGAATTTCAACATGATTGTGTTGATGCTTTCGCCAAATTATCTTTTCTTCCTCGGCTTTTACTTTGGGGTTTTCCCCAAATTCGGACCGGAGCAGATTATCAACTATTTTACGAACGTCTTAAAGTGACACAATGAGTTATGGGACCGCTAGAAAAACAAGAGAAGGGGTTGGAATGGAACTAGAGCCCAGACTTCACGATCGCTTTTTTTGTAAATTGTACCACGTGTACATTTTTGGGGTTCTGACGTCATGTGGCTGAATACCAAGTGCCTCGTTTTCCAAGATGTATTAAGATGCAGCCTGGTCAGATGGACTTGAATATATATATATATATATATATATATATATATATATATATATATATAGTCGGAGATGTAAGTATTTACGGCTGAGAAAAGGTGTAGAGAACAAAGTTTGAATTTGGTATAATGGACAGAATGCAAAAAAAAAAAAACTAACTCTTTTTGTACTGAATCTTGTTGTAGGTGTGTCGGAATTACAGATCCAAAGTAAGCAATGTAGTGCATGCCGGGGTCTTGAACTTGTCAAAGAAAATAGTGTCTGTACTTTTGCTTAGGGGTGTGTGGTAAGCATTTGCCTTTCTCTTTCAAATATACTGCCAAACTGTTGGCAGAAATGGTTTCTGAATGCAGAAAAGTGCCAATTTTTTATTTCTAATCAACAAAAGTTCTGCCTCCTCGAGCGTGCATGTCATCCCTGCCATGATTACCCTAATTCCATGGGTTTGCTTTCTTGTGGACTCTTGTGAGGCTTTGCCGGAGAGGGGACTGTTTGTGTGTTTACAGGTACAATAAAGAGTTGTGTTGTTGCCGCAGACTGTTGACTTAAAATAGGGCTATGCAACAAGACGACACTTCATCCGGCCTGTAGCTTTACCCTGTGGATTCTCCAGGTTCAGGCTTTGGTGTGACTGCGACCAAATTTTACATTCCTGTATGAAAAGTTGTAAACTGTAAATGTATCTTGTGATGTACACTTAACTGACAACACGTCCTGAGGCACAGATGCTGTCCGAGCTGATGTATGTGAATCACAGGGCATTTTTGAAGTTGGCAAGTTGACTGCATGCCACCTACCCAGATAGATCCTCCCGAAATATAAAACTCTTCTTTCCAGACTTGGGTTGAGTTGTGTTTTTGAAGAGCTTTTGATGGTTTTTAAATTTGCTTGGAAAGCCAGATGAACGGGATTGACAAAGTGGGTTTAGGGCTCAAATGACACAAGAATGAATTAACCTTTAGTGGTACGAGTGCTGCTCCACATGAGTGCAAAGGTCCAGCAGTGTGTCCTTAAGAGCCGAGCTGGACCCCACGTTGTGTCTTGCTTGCTTCCCACTTCTCTCAATGGTTATGACATATCTACTTCTATTTAAAACAACTCATATTTCAGCATTTTCTTGTGTTCCACAAATCCTATAAAAAGACCAAAGCGAACAATGTGTGAATCCGTCTCTCACTATATTCCTCTGCCTTATCTGTGTCACTCAGTCACAAGTAGTCGTTTAGGTTTTGTTTGTCACTTAAACAGCAGTAAATTATAAGGATATTGGGCCACTAAATTGTAATCTGCCCAGAGATTAAAGACAGAAGTTAGCTTTCATCAAATCAATATGTTGAGCACTATTTTTACCTGCGGATTGATACTAATTTGCTGCTCTCATGGCAGCCAGTAGGTGTACTTACTGTATGTGCATTGGCTCAAAATTAATCATAATCATGATGATGAAGACACAAAGTACTACTCTGACAAAATACAGTTTTAAAAATGTAAAACCAAATTTAAGATACGTGTTAAAAACACTCAGTTATTGTACATGATACAAAACAGCTGGGTTTGGTGCTTTTTAGCAAACATTATTCACGTGGGGTAAATAGTATATTTGTTTGGGACTATTTTCAGTGGTTGAATTGGACGCTTCGGTCTTTATTTAAGGGGAGGAGGACGGTGAGAGATCCAATCATTTAAAGAGTGTGTGTGTGCCGCTGCAAAAGTCATTGCAACTCATTGATGTGTATTTGATTGTTTTTCTTTTAGAAACAATGGAGCTCTACAGCGCATCAGAACTAGCCCCTTTAAGTCAGGCTTTGGATACACACACATACACGCACAAATACGTAATTTACTTACTTAAGTCATTTAACTCTAATGGGTTTAAAAAAATATTAAATTATCACTATGCTTAAACACATATTACAGGTGAATGCAGTTTGATGGAGGAACTAGTGCGGATACAATGTCATAATTGTGAGTGAGGGGATTTGAGCGTGAGAGAGGAATCTAGTTGAGTAACAAATGTTGCACATTTAACTATATTAGTGTTAATTGAGTCACTTCGACTCAAGTCTACACGTTGAGCTGTGTCATATCTGTGCAACCTATTTAATGGATTATCTAAAAAGGAGACATTTTTGACGCCGCAGTCGGGTTTACCTTCAGGGTGGCTCTGTTCTTTTTAGAGGTGACGTCACAGATCGTCTTTCGTCTGCGAGCACGGCTGTAAGTGGCCACATGGGAGCAGAGAGTTGTGTTCATCTCGTCTCAGATGTCCATCTGTTTCAGAACCCCAACGTGAGCAGGTCGCCAAGTGTTCCTCTTACAGTTTGCTATTATTACCCCCTCTGGACACGCCCCAGTTGCATGTTCTGAAATGGAAATGTGCATGTGCTTAAAAAAAGAGGCTTTGCTTGACTTCATTCAGTCCATGATTTGTACGATTTGTTTCCTGGTTGTATTTTCTGATCAACACACAGTATATGTTTTTCACGTGAAGACAAAAAAAAGAAAAGGAAAGAAGGAGGAGCTTGCTGGAATACCGTTACATCACAGAGCTGCCAAGCTGGAAACAAGTTCTGAAGTAACTGAGTCCTCCGCTGCCTGATCTGATATTGACTCTGCCACAGTCATTTTAACTGTACCCATAGATTTGATATAAATATGCGTCCTTGAATAAAGAGGTATGATTATAAAAGTGCATCATGTAGATGTGTAATGATTATTTTGTTCTTACGGTTGAGTTAGTTGAGAGCATCCTATTGAATTTGAATATATATACAACTATAACAAAGATTTATATTTAAATAGAGTGCAAGTACCTGAGTGAATGAAATTGGATTTTTCTAATGCTTAAATAAAAAAAGAAAAGATTAAATAAGGGACTAATTAGATCTTGATGTTTCTTTGTATTTAATCAACTGAAGCAGAACTCAAGTTTACATCCAGTTCAATTCCTCTACAGGTTGGTTGGGTTCGTGATCGATACGTTAACCTGTTGATCACTTTGATTACTTGTATTATGTCTACATTAGTTCTGGAGGAATTAGTCAAATCTGGATGTGTCATCAAATGAACATAATTACTTATAATGTCGCCCCCTTAGCTTTACGGGGACTCTAAGCTCATTGGTCATTCAGCTACAGCTTCATGTGTCTCATGCTGCAGGGATGGAAGGCCCAAATGTCTCTTCAGAGACCAACAAAAGGGATCAATCTGCAGAGATTCCTCTGCACTAAATGGGCGGAGGCCCTGCAGGATTTTAATTGGTCCACATCACAGTAGGGGGGCGGGGCCTCGGTCGTCCCCTTTTGGCGCGTCTGTGAAGTGATGCAGCTGCAGGTCAAGAGGAGAGAAGCTGCTGCTGAGGAGCAGGAGGAGGAGGAGGAGAGGATGACAAGTCACTCTGCATCGCACTCCAAGTTCAAGAAACAACTTATTTGTAATGAGAACTACCTCTTTAGAATTATTATTATTATTTTAATCTAGAACACGTGTCTGGCTCGCTTATTCGCATGCGGTTAAATCTTACTTATAAAAATAGGGTGTCAAACCACGGAGGATGTTCCGCGGGTTGTTAAAATGGACACTTTGCCTTCTCGGGCTCGTAACCACGAGCCCCGCCGCACCTGAAGATGCACCGGCGGAGTTTGGAGGCGAGTCCGGCTCCGGGATGCTTCACACAGGTAAGAGTGGGTAAGACGCCCGTGGCGCCCACCGAGCTAGTGAGACACCTGCGCGCAATAAACGTGTTAACGTCACTTTGTTTCACCACATACTTTTTTTTACTATTTACTATTAGCGGCTCTTTAAAAAAGTTCCCTCCGACTAACGTCAGTCATGTTTTAGGGCAACACACGGCTTAACACAGCTGCTGCTAGCACAGGTAACGCTAAGCTAACCCTCCGTTTCCCGCCTATGGCGCGTGCCTTTAACAGCAGCCCTCGTACGTCATCCAAACCCTGAGCATGTAGCTGCTACGTCACACGTCACGTCACCTCTGGAAGGAAGCGTCCTGCTGTGCTTCCTCTCCATCCCCTGTGAGCTGTGAGCCAGGAGGAACAAACGCTCCATGCTGGCTGGAGGCTCTTTGACGTTCATTACGTCCATGACGTCATTGGCTCTGCGCAGTGTGTGTGTGTGTGTGTGTGTGGATCAAAGTTTGTGTTTAAGCTGAGTGGATAACTGGATGGGTCACATTTAATAGTTCAACTGCTGTAACTTCTTGAGGGAAAAAAACAAAAACAAACTCAAATTAAGAATGTTATTAGCCCACTTTGTATTGAAATTACCAGCCTGCAGGTATTAATTTCACACCAACAAGTCTGCTCATGAATTCTAAGCCCTTAAAGCATAAATTTAAAGTGTTTAATTAATGTGCCGTCTCGCCTCACAGCGTGCACCTTTGCCAAAGTCTTTAAATCAGTTGGAGCGGAGATCTTTTATCTCAGGTAGACGTCCACAGAGGAACGGGCACAATGTGATTCATACGTCGATTCCTTGTAAGTTGCCCAAAAGAGATTTAACTTTAACACAAAATGACTTCATTCTGCAGGGGGGAAAAAAAAAAACATGTGAGGACTGAAGCCAAAAAATCATCCACAGTTATCAAATCACATGGAATGCGTCTTTGCTGGCAGGCAGTCTGAGTTAATCTCAACATCCCTCTATTGTCCGTCTCGTCCGTCTCGTCGGTACTTTCGATGTATGGACCCATTTGGTCATTTTGAGGCTGTAGCTTTACATTGTCTGAGCTGAGAGTTGTTTTAACGAGCTGTTGAAAAGGATCTCAGATTTGATTATGTTATGTCTGGATTCAACAGCATCACACACAGCCCCCCCCCCCCCCCATTATTTTTTATTTTATCCCATTTCACTGCAATCATCTGTGTGTCGGAGACCCACCGGAGCCCCAAACAGATGTCAGTGAGCCAGCTGAGAGTTTGGATTAGAGCGAGGAGCGCGCTGATTGAACCCAGCGTGTAGAATGTTTTCAGTGTGTTACTGTTGATGGCCGTGCGAAAGCCCTCGTGTAAACTCTAGCTGGATATCACTGTCTGGGCTGATTACGTAACACCGCTGGCACAATCTCTGTTTGCTTTGTTGTAGTTGGGTTTCCTTCGTAACTGAGCTCGTCTTTGGGGGAGATTTGTGATTTGTGCACATCCAATGAAAGCTCATTTTAGATCACTTGGAGCAAACGTGTGCTGTGGAGCTCAGTTCTGGGCTCAGGAGATGAAGCGGTATGTCCACTAATCCCAAACCGTCTCTGAACCCCTAAATGCTCCAGATGTTGAGGCCGGCTTCTGCATTCTAGCAGCTGAGCAAAGCGCTTTGGGTAGAAACACAAAACAGCCGTTCACCATTTGTCTCGTACCTTCCTCACTTCACCGCAGACACAACATTGTGTGTTGTGTCAGAATTGATTGCCAGTCCTTTTTTAGCTCCTAGAATCTTGCATTAGGCGTCTGCCATCTCCAATCGACCGATTCAGCAATCCATGTATCCATCCTTCGAGAGAGAGAGAGCCATGTCCAGATATCTGGAACCTCTGACCCGACGAGACGGGATTCCCTGGAGTGCAGTATGATAACAGCTGTTGGAGCGTTTTACGTTGTCTGTATCGCCCACCTGCTCCCCTCGGTGCATTACATCATACATGGGTATACCCGTGGCGCTCGCAGCAGCGGACGGACTGCGCTCCCGCTGGCTGGTCCGCCCCTCTAAAGTCCCCCAGCGCCGCACCTTCCTGACCTGCAGTGTGAGAGTAAGTAACTCCGGCAGTAAAAACGGCTCTGAACTGCGTCTCAAGTGCAGACTTTGGGAGTTTGAGAAGGAATCATTTCACAGAACACGCTTCAGAGGATCCAACTTTAAAAAGGCTTTTCCCTGCTAGCGTTGAGGCCTTGGGATGTCTGACAGTGAAGGAATCTCCAAAGCCGCCAGCCAGATTGCAATGGAATTTGTTTTATTGAAGTATCCTTACAGCTTTAGTTAGGATCCAATGTGAATGTACTATTACATTTGTTTTAATAAAAGTTAAAAGATTCCAGCCTTAATAGAGAACTTGTGTTCTGCCTGCTGATCAAAATTTGGGTGAATGAATAGAACCATGAACGTGAAACATGAACCAATCGGATGATTTGATTTGGTTTTTAATTCAAACATTCTGTGGAGCAAAGAGGATGAATAGCTGAGGTTTCTTTTTTGACATTGTTTCACAATGTGCATTAATCTTACATTAAGCCTTAAGATTCATTTATATTTTTTTATTTTTTATTTTTTAGCATTCTTAACTGAACCTGCATATCAAGCAGTTGGTTAAGAAAGTGTTACTTTCAATACAAAGGTGCTAATCAAGTTTAAAAAGTGTAACGCAAACATCTGGGAGGCCCACCATTTAAAAAAAAAAAAAAAAAGTTTTATATCTCCATCTACATCAGGCATGGTCATCATTTAAATTAATTTGGTACTCTTGGAAGAACTTCTGACACATGGCCATGCTCGGAAACCAGATCAGAAGCCCAGCGCCGGCCGTGTCACCGACACGCTCGTGCTTTTCCAGCAGGTCGAGCTGATGATGTCACTGCCAATATAACGCCAGATCCACAAGCAGGCATCTGTATCCAATGAAACCTGATCCTGGGCCTTAGCGCTTGGTGAGCCCTGATCTGGGGCCCATTAGCCAGCTTTAACCGGGCAGGGGCCCACATGCCTTGGCGCGTACGGCGTAACGTTCCCTGCTACACACACAGACCCGGGTCCTCGGCGCGGAGCGCAGCGGGTCGCAGCTTGTGGTAAGCGTCGTGTGTAGGTGCAAAGCACATGTTGGATCAGAACCTCCCTCATCGTCTGCAATCTCCTCTCAGGCCAACTGGAACCAGATGGCAGAAAGAACGAGGTGATAGCGCTCCGTCCCTCACATGTTTGCCATTAAAGGTGAACAAAAGAAGGGGCTTTTTGAAATTTTGAAGAAAACATTTACCTACTTTACCTCAGCAACCTCTTTCTTATGGTGTCCTTTCCTCTATTTGTCTCCCTTTGGCCTTAAAGGGCCACAAAGAGCCTGCAGACACATTGCAGCCTGTCAAACACAAACACGCAGATTTATGTAGTAAAGAGCAATTTATGGATGTTTTGACCCGAGCCGTCCTGTCAGTGGTTCCGCTTGACTCCAGTGCTGAAGCACCTCATTGTGTCTCTTCTCTGTGCAGCAGTTGTATGTTTTTTTGTTTTGTTTTTTGTAGCATGTAAATGTTAAACACTGGCCTCGGGGTATCATGAAAAGGGCTAATGATGATCATGATGTGAACCTGGTGTCAGTTGTGTTGATGTGAAACATTTCCTAATGTAATTGTGATAGTGGTCATTTCTACTTTGAGTATCTGTGTATTTATAATCAGTGATAATCAACAAACAGATGGGTAAACTATTATTAATGTTCTTTCGCTACATCATTTTGTGCTTTCCTTTTTTTTCTGCATGTCACACGTGGTGATTGAAATTTGATATTAGAGGTTATTACAGATAAAGGCTGCTTGCAGTACGTGTATGATGTTTCCACTATTCCGTAAACTGGAGATTAGAATTAACCTGCATGACTCAAACACCCTTGTAAATGATTCTGCATAGTCCTATCCGTTAAATAAACTGAATATATGTAAAAACACATGAATTTACATGGTAAGTACCTGCGTTTCGACCTTGGGCTGCTGTTTTCTCGCTCGGGGAGCAGATCCTTGCACTGCTTGTCCTGTCACAGCACAAACCAGTCATCAAGGACAGAGCTGGTCAAGGAGGTAGTTTAGATAATCAAAGGCCCATTAAACTGTCAAACGTCATAGAAAGAATCCTCCTGGATAGATTACATTGTTAACTCCACAGACACCCAGTTTCGTGTGCATTAAGCGTTCTCATGTCTGAGGTGCCCCTGAACGCATTCTGAGGGTTCTGGCTTACTGGGACCCCCACCAGACTATACAAGTGGTCTCTGCCCCATTCGGTGCTTCGGCCCGACATGTTGACGCACGCACGGACACGCGTGCGCGCTCACCACCGCAGACGTAGCGACTAATAGCACCCCCCCCGACCCCCGACCCCCACCCGTCGGGCTGATCAAAAGTAGCTTACAATGATGCCATGAGAATATGATTGAAACCCAGAGGGAGAAGTGCCAGTGAAACGTCTGCGGCTGCAGGACTCAACACTTTTTTGTTTTGTCTTGCCCCACCTGGACCCGGAGTGTTGGATGGAGCTCGATTGATTGCTGCCTCCGAGCGATGGTTAGCGTAGCAGAGGTTTCGGTGACCGCACTTGGCACGGCTCTGGCACGAGTGTCTTCAACCCTGGCAGGCGTGCAGTCATCAATCTGCTGCACACTGGTTTCTAACAGCAGGGCCTGACTCTATTTGGCAACCATTTCCCCCGTGGGAAGCGTTTAAGCTATCATATTATTGTTATTCATCATGAAAAAAAAAGTCAAGGTGGAGCCAAGAGGCCAGTTTTACTGCTGCAGCTGTGACATGTGCAACTGCCTTAATACGCTCGTGTTCCACAAAATAGATGCCAGGTGATTCAATGTTGTTTCATACCAGTCAGACGCATACATGCCCTTAATTCTCGTCTTTGCCACACAGTTTCCCTTTTCCCCCCCCGCCACATAAAACTGATCCCTGTAAGAGTACAG